GTGGCTGGATCTGTCAGAAGTCCAGCAGTGACCGTATTGCCCAAACACAGGCTGGAGCACATACCTAACAGGTCTCACACACACTGATATATTGCTGCATCCAATCCGGTTGACTTTAGTAAACATGTGACCTCTAATATTATGATAAAGTGCAATATTATAATCATTTTATTTATGATTTTGAATTTATTGTACAATTGAATTTTTTCGGTTCCTAACAAGGGGTTAAATGAGACTACAGAGGTTGTTGGTGACATTAAACGTCACAAACTCGGAGACTGCACTAGCTCGCCTTTACAGCCTTGTTGTGTTTATACTCGAGCTATTGCAAACTATTCTAACTCAAACTTTACAACTTGCTGATTTTTATTACAAGATTTAATTTGAAGTGGTGTTGACACTGAAGTCAGGCAACCGTGTTGGCCTAAGGTTAGCCTTTCACCTCGGGTGATCACATTTACGCTTCATGAATCATAAAAGTATCATAAACCTCTCAGTCCCCAAACTCCTATTGGCTTTTTGTTAAAGGAACCAGGACGATGCTCACTTCCACGTTTGCCTACAAAAATATGTCATCCCTGTCTTTTCTGTCTAAGTTTCTTTCCCATCCTAACAAGAATAACTTTCAGTAGGAAACACTGAATACTTGTAAGTTATGGGAATGTTTTTGGCATGAAAAACATTAAATTTAAATCTTCTGAATATTGGCTGTAAAGGATCAGATCAGCATTTTTTGCATGTTTAAGTCCATTATGTACAAGTAGCAGACACATTGCTGCTGAATAATATCCATTTTAATTGAATGACTCTATTCATTACCTCAAAATCAATCACATTCACACCCCCTTCTTCTGCTGCTTTCAACATTTCACATTTTCAAGTGTTGCTTATTATTCCAAATAAAATTATAATGTATTTGGTTTATTTTCTTTATACACCTGTCTGGTACAGTTTAGGAATATACTGACAATTCATCTAGAAATCCCTTTCATCTTAGTTAACAATATTCTTCCAATAATTTTGATATTCCTTGTAACCCACTTCAAATTGTATTTATTCTTTTGCACAGCAGTTTAAATATTAGTGTTTTCCCTGTCAATGCAACTTTTACCAATAGTTAGTCCCAAATATTTAACCTCATTTTTTAACTTTTCTTTTATATGTCAATAGTACACAACCACCATTCTACAGTCGCCCAGAGCGAACAAACAAAATAATGGCTCTTAGGACCAGCCACAGTAGTTTCTCCTGCTCACTTGGTAGGCAAGTTGCAATCTGCAACTTCACCATTAGATGCCACTAAATCCTACAAACTGGTCCGTTACTGAGGTTTTTCATGCTTCCATGTAGTCCTTGGTTTCCATTCATTTTCCGGTCATTGAAACCGTTTTAATTATCCATTACAGTGAACAGCATGTCCCTTTAATTTTGTCAAAATTAGCAGATTGTCATGTGGATGCAGTGCAGACATTTCAAATCAGTTCAGGCTTTCCATCACCATTATGCAATGATAACATACCAACAATAATATTACATAATGATAATCACATAAGATGATTTGTATGTATTGTCCTTTCTCATGACAGGCCCCCACCATTTCTTGGTGGTCCTAGCAGTACCTGCAGGTCCAAGTCCTACCACCACATGGCATACAATCCCCCGGCTCGCTATTCTGACAACATCCACTCTGACCCCCTGTACAGGAAGACCATACGCCCCATACATCCTGTTGAGGCTGCCGGGATCATCACCGCACAGAGTTATGGAGGACGCCGCGGTCACACCACCCGCTACGTGATTGTCAATGAGCACGAGCCCAGGAAGAAACTGCTGCGCTCAGCTACACGGATCCCACGCCATTACCTCATGGAGGAGTCTGCAGAGATTCTGGAGCTGTACCCACGCAACATCAAACGCTACACACCCCGCGCTGCCCACTACCACCCGCATCCTCACCGGCCCCACCCATCACAACAGCATCTGAGTGAAGAGGAAGAGGAGGAGGTGGAGGAGGGAAAAAGCAGGAGAAGGATGTCGTTGGGGAAGGCACACCGGCCCCGTTCCCTCTCTGACCTCCACCAGCCGCCACACTTCTACATCGGTGACCGTGTAGAGAGCCACATGTCCGTGGCTAAAGACAGCCACGCTGCTCGAGGAAAATATGGAGCGCAAGAAGAGGACGAAGAAGAGGACGGTGAAGGAGAAATGGACTGGGGAGATTTAGAGTCACGTTCTGGATTCCAGGCCAATGTCAGAGCAGCGGACCCTCTTCTTGTGCGGACCAGGCGTCACATCCATTCCCCAGGAAGACACTATCAGTCCCCGGCCAGGACCAGGCACGTGGAGTCTTACGTGAAGCCCAAGACGAGACCGAAGCTTGAGACCCCTCTGACTGAATCCGACTCTGCCTCGCTGGCCTCAAGCAGTGACCAGCAGAACAGCAGCACTGACCAGTACATCCAGGTCATCCACAACAAGGAGCGCTATCTCAAGTCTGATGCCAAGCAAGGAAAGCTGGCCAAAAAGAAGTCCAAAACCAGCTTTGATGTAAATGTCACAGAGTCAAATGACCTGGTCTCCTCCAATGTATGACACCTTATGTATTCTGTTAAAATATCATAGATACATATGCTACCGGAAGTTAAAACACTGAATTGAAAGAACAGAGTGTATATCATTATAAATGTCATTTCTTTCTCTTATGTGTGTGATGTCATTTTGAAACAGCAATGTCAGCTAATTAAATTGGTTATTGTAGCAATATGTGTAACAATAAAAGCAAATGACAGTGACGCTAAATAGTCTAATATAAACTATTAAAATATATACAGGCTACATCATTACACATGCTTCCGGTGCAGTCTCACATTTATCCTACCTGCAGGGGTAGATCTAGACAAATATTCATGTGGTGTCGAGAGGGTGGCATGGAAACTTTAAGGGGTGGCAGAAATACAGCGGGTAAAATAAGTATTGAACACATCACCATTTTTCTTAGTAAATATATTTCTATAGGTGCTATTGTCATGAAATTTTCACCAGATGTCGGTAACAACCCATGCAATCCACACATGCAAAGAAACCAAAATAAACAATTTCAGAAATTAAAGTTATGTGTAATAAAATGGAGTGACAGGGAAAAAGTATTGAACATGCTTACTGAAATGTATTTAATACGTACAAAAGCCTTCGTTGGTAATGACACCTTCAAGACGCGTCCTGTATGGAAATTACTCGCATGCATTGCTCAGGTGTGATTTTGGTCCATTCTTCCGCACAAACAGTCTTCAAATCTCGAAGTTTCCGTGGGCCTCTTCTATGAACTCTGATCTTTAGGTCTTTCCATAGATTTTCTATTGGATTCAAGTCAGGTGATTGGCTGGGCCATTCTAGCAGCTTTATTTCCTGTCTCTGAAACCAGTTGAGAGTTTCCTTGGCTGTGTGTTTGGGATCATTGTCTTGCTGAAATGTCCAACCTCGTTTCATCTTCATCATCCTGGTAGATGGCAGCAGATTTTTATCAAGAATGTCTCGGTACATTTTTCCATTCATCCTTCCTTCAATTATATGAAATTTGCGAGTGCTGTATGCTGAAAAACAGCCCCACAGCATGATGTTCCCACCTCCAAACTTCACTGTTGGTATGGTGTATTTGGGGTGATGTGCAGTGCCATTTGACCTCCAAACATGCTGTGTATTATGGCTTCCAAAGAGTTGAATTTTGGTCTCATCTGACCAGACTATATTCTCCCAGTATTTCACAGGCTTGTCTAAATGTTGTGCAGCAAACTTTAAACGCACTTCAACATGCTTTTTCTTCAGCAATGGAGTCTTGCGCGGTGAGCATGCATATAGGCCATGGCGGTTGAGTGCATTACTTATTGTTTTCTTTGAAACAATTGTACCTGCTAATTCCAGGTCTTTCTGAAGCTCTCCACAAGTGGTCATTGGCTCTTGGACAACTCTTCTGATCTCTGTTCTTTCCACTTCTGGATTATGGCCCCAACAGTGCTCACTGGAACATTCAGAAGTTTAGAAATCCTTCTGTAACCAATGCTATCAGTATGTTTTGCAACAATAAGGTTGTGACAGTCTTGAGAGAGCTCTTTGGTTTTACCCATCATGAGATGTTTCTTGTGTGACACCTTGGTGATGAGACACCTTTTTATAGGCCATCAGTCGGGACTGAACCAGCTGATATTTATTTGCACTGACAAGTGGCAGGATTGTTCTCTAATTACTGATAGATTTCAGCTGGTGTCTTGGCTTTCCATGCCTTTTTGTACCTCCCTTTCATCATGTGTTCAATACTTTTTCCCTGTGTCATTTCACATTATTACACATCATTTATGGACATCTATGGTTTGATTTCTTTGCATGTGTGGATTGCATGGGTTGTTACCGACATCTGGTGAAGATTTCATGTCAATAGCATCTTTAAAAATATATTTACTGAGAAAAATGGTGACGTGTTCAATACTTATTTTACCGGCTGTATCTGCTGATTCTAAAATGCAGCCATAACACATGAACAATTTCCATTTTTTAAACCACATTATTTTTTAAAATAAACAAAATTTGACAGCATTTGACACCAAACTGGAGTGGCAGCTGGGATGACCATGCATTTTTTTTAGCCATCCTCCAAATCCACCCTTGCCTACCTGACCTGTGCACGGACTAAACGGCATTTCATCTGGAATGAAGTGACCAACTACAGTTCCCAGCTTGCTTTGCTGCAACACACTACTCCAGCTGCAGGTGCGTGAAGGCAACCAGATTACAACAAAGAGAGGGGCGCTTTTGCCTTCAGACTAAAATACGTGGTACTTGACGCTCAGTTAAATGTCGTTCTGTGTGCAACCAATAGTGCCACACTTGATTAAATCACCAACTGCTATTGGAAACACGTTTAAAATGCTATTATAGCGCATGATTTAAGTTACATAAACGCTTACATTTGTAAATATTGATTTTATTTTGAAAGACGTAACCGGAAGTGTGTTGTTTTCTGGATGATTTGACGCCTCTGCTAACGATTCCCGTCGTGTTAGAGGGAACCACTTCTGGATTTTAACGTTTTAAACCGAGACATATGTGAGCTCCCGAGCGGCACTAAGAAAAAAAACATCGTTTGACAGCCAACCGTAATTGACGGAGCTGTGAACGTTGCTGTCTATTCACATAAGCTCGTACCCGCCAGCTAGCTGCCTGTTAGTTAACGATGCGGCCATATAGCACGTTTCATTCATTGTGGCTAACGCTAGCTTTGTAGTGGCGGCTCGCGCTCACCTGAGCAGGTTTCGGTCTACTTCGTAACGTTTGCTAACGCTGCTGCTCGCTGCTGCTCGCTGCTACAGTCAGGCTTTATCTTCTGTTCAACGGACGGATAACTGGCTCGTCAGCTCGTCTGCAAAGTATATTAGGTGAACAACGTTAGGTTCGCTTTCACTGACTGTTATGGACTTTGAAGAGAAAGCGAGGGCAGTGGCTGACTGCTTGATGAGCTACAAGAGGGATGAATCCGGGTGGAAAGTCTGCAAGAAATCGGTAAATATTTGTTGGAATAAAATTCTCTTACGCTGATATGAAATCGTACGATATTTATCCACTCGCTCTGGTACATGCTGTTCTCTGGTATAACGTTAGAGGACCGACAGGGTAGGTTCATTGATAAATGTGTCACTTGATGTGGCCTTGCTCCCTTACCTGACAGGACAGGACAGGACAGGACAGGTTGAAGAACTTTCAGGGAACTTGAGGTTCCACTCTTCCATTTGGCAAACAGCCCATGCACTAAGCGAGTGTAAAACATATTCTCGGTTTGTTGTTGTTCCTTACTGTAAGTCGACATTTTAGTTAAGTTGTATTACTCTGTGCAGGAGTGTGAATCACTTCTAAAGTGAGGCTTCTAGAATGAATCTTATGAGATTGCCCAGAGGAATAAAATGTTATCAGATTGCCATTAACAAGTATTGATTACAAAATGTCCATAGTTCATCATGTTTGGCCCTGTCAGGAGTTTTTAGGCAGCTCACTGTGTCCTCCACTGCTGCTGGCTGGTTGGTGAGGGTCTACATGAGACCACTGTTCCCCTTACCCAATGCACTTTTTCTGCTGTCATATAGGGCTGCACAATATGGTAAAAACACCATATTGCAGTTATTCTGATAGCGTTAGCCATTCACAATTATGTGGGGGAAAAAAACACAAAGAAAACCGGATTAAAATCACGATAATGTGAAATGTTTGGAGGTCTGTATCAAATAAAATCAATGTTAAACTAAATGTGAAGACCAGGGCACCTGTGCAGCACTACAGTTATTGTATTATTGTATTATACAGTTAGTACATTTTCTCTTTATCAAAACTACAGCTCTTGCAATTTCCATATTGCGATTCTGATAATTGTGCAGTTCTATTATCATGATGTTTCTCCCAAGACACTTAGGGCTTTGTATTGGCAAGACTGATGATGCAATATGTATCCCAATACAGAGGTTGCAGTACAATATATTGCCATACTTTAAAGAAGGTGGTATATTGTGATTTTATTTTTTTCAGTCTAAGTTTAGGAAAGCTGTCATAATTTAGAGATAGGAATGTAAAATATATATTGCCAGACAAATATTCAAACCGATGAAATGAATTGTGATCTCAATCGTGGTATCAAGGCTCAAAGATTTCTGTTTCATTTTTACAATGAAAAGGAAATATCCATTGTTTTGCGCAGTGTATAGCCTTCCTCAGAAATAAAATAGATTCTATAATTTGGTAACTAAAATATAAGATAAAATATATTTTGTAGATGTTTCTTTAATAAGGGGATCTTTTTCATTCATAATTGGTCTTCAATTTCATTTTGTTTAAAAAATGGTGAGAAAATCTAATTGTGTTCCCTGTATCTAATCGTGAGTTGAGTGCATTGTTACAACTCTTGCAATAAAGAACGCACCCCCATATGCATAACATCTGAGTTAAACAGACTTTATTTTACATTTACAGCACTGCTATCTAGCTAATACAATGTCACTGAAAAGAGCATAAAAGTAAAAAGGGAACATATGATGAGATATTAAAAATAAAATAATCAAAAAGATTATTGGAAATACACAGCAAGGAATTAAGTGAACACATTTTAAATGGTGCATTGTTCAAATGGAGTTCAAAGAGGGCCCCCCTGGAGGATCTCACTTAGGCTCATATGGAATTCATTGAAATACTCATCTATAATTCACATTGGAAAATTAGAAGACATAAATGTCTCCTGCAATTCAGGTGTATTTGACCCTTATTGTTTTTAAAGATGAATACATTTGTATTTAAAAGGCACTTCTGACTGTTATTACCATCTTTGATCATAAAGTTTATTATTCAGAATATTCAGAATTCAATATATCCTGCCTCAGTACTTGTCTTTGTCAGAAGTCTTTCAGCCACATGTAGCACCTTATCAACACTAATATGGAATTAGAATGGTTAATAAATAATAGTGATAATAATAGACTTTATTTATATAGCACCTACAGGGGGTGTAGTTAACTTATCCTTTATTGATCCACGTAGGAACATTCATTCTCTGCATTTGACCCATCCTAAGTACTAGGAGCAGTGGGCAGTGTCCAGGGACCAACTCCAGATCTGAGCCAGTGCCTTGGTCAGCGGCACTGACTGGAGAAATGAACCTAACATACATGTTTCTGATGGTATGGGGAAACCGAGCACCTGGATGAAACCCACGCTGACACAGGGAGAACATGCATGCACACGCTTTACAAAAGAGTTAAGAGACAAAGTGCAAATACTGCGCAATAAAAGCACACAATCAAATGAATAACAAATAAGAGGCAGCACATAGCAAAAACAGATGTGCTTCAATTTAAGAAGTAAAGAATAAGAACAATAAAATGTGTAAAGCGTAGGAATAAAACAAAGGAAAAGGGACAGTTGGCTAAAGTGAATAGATAAGTTTTCAGTAGTCTGTTCACAGAGCTCGCATCTCCCATAGCCTTGGGTGGGGAATTCCATAGTTTGGGTGCATGGTTAACAAAATGGTTGTGTCGAGGTTGTATAAAAAAAAAAACAGAGGCAGAGGATCTAAGAGGCCATAAAGGATTCTAAAACGAGAATGAGTGAATGAATGAATGAATGAATTAATAAACGTATTAATAAACGTAGGCTGGTCCCAAAGCAGTTAAGTGCAGCTGGACAACAGTCAGCCTAGTGCTCAATGAAGGCTGACCGGTGTATCCGCTGATGGTGACCTTTCTGTCACAATTGCTCCTCAAGTAAATATGTAGTGTGTCAGAGGGAACAGCATGTATGTACCAGGTACACACAGTCAAACGTCTGACTATACTTTTTCTTTTTTTCTTTGGCAGAATGACGTGGTTGTGTCTTGGCGTCCTTCGTCTGAGTTCCCGGGGAATGTGTGAGAAGGCTTCTCTTTTTCTTCCTCATCTAGTTTTGGTTTCATTACCAGTGGAACACAGTAATACAATCTGTATATAATAATGTATATGTATGTATATAATAATAGTAAATAGAAGACTTTGCTGTTGTGCCAGTGTAAGGGTAAACATAAGGATAACAGTCAGGTTTTTTTTATAATGCTACCCGTACTGCATAGCATAGAAAACGGCGCCCATACAATTCAGTTGTTTCCCAGCAAGATATCTGTCAGAAATAATCTTGTGGCCAAGATTGTGGATTAGTTAGATTATTTTGACATAATATTTTAAAAGTATCATTTTTACCTGCTTCCAGAAGGTACAGTTCATTTTGTGAAGCTTCCAGATGCCTTGCAGTACTTCACATACCTGTGGTCTCCTACAACTTTCTGAATTTGGATCAGGACAGATTAGGGGCACAACATGACAGTAGAATTACACTTTTATTTTCTTCTGCATAACATTTTTTAGGAAATAAAGGGTAAATTATTATCTAATAATAGGAAGGTGTGGTCTAAAAATGGACCTCATGGTGTCAATGATAATCTGGGTATCATTCATTCTGTTCATATTCTATAATAGAATCCAATATAGGGAAATTAGAGAATGATTTGCTATTATCAGATGGATCTAATACAAACAAGAAATAACTTATTTTTTGTACTTTTAATTTTATGCTCATTTCAAAAATAGGAAATGAAAAATTACAAAATACATGGACTGGAATTAATTTAGATATTTAATGTGTCTGATTTGTGTGTTGCTGTTTTCTTTCTTCTTTTTTAGAAAATAAAAAACGAGGCTCATTATTCAGCACACAGTGTAACTCACTGTATGTGTGTCATTCAGTGATAGTAGATGGAAATCCACTGACACAGCAAAAACCAACTGTCTACTAGGGTTGTGAATCCCCACCACTGAGGCCGATTCGATACACATCTCGATACGCTGCCAGCGATACGATACATTAACGATACAGTGGAGGCCCGTGCCGATACGATGCCATTCATTAATGATTTGACAACGATTTGACTTTATACAATGCGATTCAGTTCGATACGATTCATGATGCGATTCAACACAATACAAAGAATTTACAAGCCCACATCTGGTTTCTAATGTATTTGATACTTGATTGTTTTTTATAAAGCAATAATAATCCAACTTAAAAAGAAGATGCAATTCAATATGGTACAGACAGAGGATTGTTTTATTCCTAACAAACACTAAATCATAAACAAAAAATATTGTTTTCATTACATGTGCTTTTAATCTCATTCTCTACTTATACAATACTAAATGTATTGTATTCAGGCAATTTCTTTTTGGCCTCTTAATGAAAAAAACAGAACAAACAATCCTTTTCTCAGGTCCTGTTACTAATAGTGTTCTCTGTCTGTAATTTCACAATGTTTTACAAAACACTTATGAAACTTCCCAACATCAACAATGTGCATTGTGTGTCTTCCAAGGTACGCTTAATATCTCCTCTTCACCTGTTGTGTCGCTTCCCTCCATTTTTTCTGTTTACTAACTGCGTCTGCGCTGCGCAAAAAGATAGTGATGGTGCGTTCAAGGCGCCTCGAGAACACGGGTGCAGAGGAGATAAACTATGTAATAATCGATGTAACCATGGGTTTTACCGATGCAGACACTCAAAGAAAGATACACTGCGCATTTACCTGGCAGTTGTATCCGATGCACACTGAAGCTACCGGTGCACTCGCATTGCAAACGTCTGTCTCGGACCACCGATTCAAATCGGTGAATCTCTCCATCCCTACTGTCTACAGCTGACATTACTGTCTTTCAGAGGCTGTAGCAGGCTCTGTGTTAAAGCTAATGTGAAGCTGCTGATATGTAAATGTAGATGAACACATCCATTGGTACCATTTCATGCTAGCATGTTGGGAGGGGGGCTAAAAAACACTACAAAGTTATGCTAAATTTTGGTGATGGGGAAAACTGGCATGTCTATTTTCAAAGACATCCCTTGACCTCTGACCTCAGAATATCTGAAGAAAATGGGTTCTATGGGTACCCACAAGTCTCCCCTTTATGCTTTGCATTCAGTTTTGGGCAAAAAGCATGCAGTTTCTAGTATGCAGTGTGAATGTGTTACCTTCGCCTACTGTATGTGAATATTTCTGCATTCTGGACTCCATAAACAGTGCTGGCATTGCATAAATGGGGTATTACTGGAAAGCTGAGACTTTTGAGGGTCCAGTGAGCCTGATTGTATTTATATGTGATGATGTTCATCCCCATGGTATCCATTTCATTGTAGTGAGACATTTTGAAACTTGACCGCACTGTATAAAATGACTGTTGTGATCACAATATCACAGCCTCATGAAACTGTACAACCACAAACTAGAGGCCGAAGATGGATGGCCTTCCTATCTATTGACGCCACTGATGTATCGCCTTATTTTAGTTGTACAAAAACTGCACACTTGGCAGAGATTGAAAGGAAGTTGACATTATCATCCAAATCTGATGATAATGTTGATTTTTGAATTCCACATTGAATATGAAAAGAACAAATGATACACAGATTAGTAATCGGCAATGTTTTAGTTTTTGTCAAGGCTTGAAACAAAGTAGCAGAGTAGAAGAAATGTTCTGTTTATCTGTGTGCAGGGGTTAAATCATTTGACTTTCCAAGAATGTAAGAATCTAATTTACAGCAGAGTCATGCCTTAATAATCTGCTCTCCTGACTGTCTGACTTTCTCTGCAGTTATAAGGGGGAGGGTATTGTCAGTGGCAGCGTGGAGAAAGTGTGGGAGTGTCTGAAACCAGTACCCAACGGGCTCAGAGTCAAGTGGGACAACAATGTCAAAAAGTTTGAGCTTTTGGAACAAATCACAGAGGTGTGTTGACTAATTTCCCTCTTCTGATCTGAGGATGTTTTTGCCATGATCATTCTGTATTAGTTAACCCAATTTTCACTTCATACCGTCAGATTTCTTTCAGTTTCCATTAAAGATTGTCTGAGTTCTTTTTAAAGCTGCACTGGGTGCTCTAACATATTGATGTCTTCAAATGGCAACAACAGTGTACAGTCTATATTTTGACTTCCTTTCTTGTGTGTGCTTATTTGCCAGTAACCATGCCCATCTCATTGAAAAAATCTTGTCCGGTGCAGCTTTAAATCCATGTGTGTGATACCAGTAGGGATGGGGATCGATACCTGGTTCTATCAATAATGTCCAAGCCTATCGATACTGCTATCAAGACTAGTGGGTCCTATAACATTGTCTCGAGTAGGGCTGAAATGATTCCTCCATAACTCGATCACTAAAAATCATCTATGCAGATTATTTTCATCAAGGCTATGTTTAATCCATATGACTATATAGAGCCATACAGCGCAGTGTGATTAGCACCGATGATTACTGTCACACAACACGGAGAGACAGACCAGAGAAAACAATAGCGTCCAAAGTTTCAATCAGTTTTCATTTCAAGCAGAAACAAAAGGAAAACTCTGTACAGTGTCTGTAAAACCAAACTAAGACACTGTAGTAACATTAATGTTACATAAACAGGGACTTTATATTTACAGCAAACACACACACAGCCTTTCAGTAACTATTATACTGCAACCTGAAATAAACTACACACTTTATGGCTGACCAAATTAACATAACTACTCCTCACACACCATCACAGGTTACCCACAACCCCACCTTTCTTAAAGGGGAAGGCTCGGCTGGTAACACAGGTGCAGTTAGGCTGTGGGTGGAGGAAGGATCAGATCCTTTACTTAAGTAAAAGTACTAATACCACAGATTAAAAGTACTCCACTACCAGTACAGTGGGGGACAACAAATGCCTCTACTGCTGAAAATAATCCCAGAGGAAACTCTGAAAACAATTTAAAAGACCTGTCTTATTTTCTCTATTATATATTTACTATTGCTCTAGTCCTATTACTGCTTTAATGAAGCAAAATGTATTTCTTATCTGATTATTCAATGGTATAACCAATAGAATAATTGATTACTTAATTAATTGAAAGCTTCAGCCCTAGTCTCGAGAGACAGTGACATCAGTCATGTCATTTAAATCAAATCACTGATGCACAAACATACATCGATTTGTCTAATAAAATCTTTGAATTCAATTGAATTGCTTGCCAAATGCAGTTAAGCACAACCAGATCTGTTAAGAATTTACTGTCGTCTCGTCTTCCCACCAAATGAATAGAAAAGTATCGATAGTGGTATTGATAAAGACTCAGACTGAGACTCACTCAGATCATTAAGCAATCTCAAAAATGTTATCATTATCAATAAAAACTAAGGATCCCTTTCCCTAGATACCAGAGGTGATATCTATTTTTGCATTTGCTTTGTTGGACTCAGTCTTTGAGTACATTCCCTTGTCTCCCACTCTTGCACAGGACATCTCTATCTGCCGAACAGTCACGCCCTCAGCAGCTATGGGTATCATAGCTCCACGAGACTTTGTAGATGTTATTTTAGTTAAGCAATACGAAGATGGCACCATTTCATCAAATGGTGCGTAATGATTTATTCTTGTCTCCTCTACTTCCTGTACTTGTTTCTTTTGTGCTTTCTAAGATTTCTTTATGCCACGGAGTAGGGGCTGGACTGTGTGTACTTGCAGGAGTGATTGGATGCAAGGCTGAGATTTTACAATGCTGAGGATACACAGACCTCCCAATTTAAATAGCACACTGCATTGTGGTGCTGCTTTACAGTAATTGGAAGCACTGCCATTTTCAGACAGTTTGGAAACAAAGCCAAACTTATTTTAAAGGGATAGGGCTTTTTGAAGTAGGGTTGTATGAGGTATTTATTCATAGTCACTGTAGAGGTCAGTTCACCCCCGGTTTGTAGAAGCAGACAGGATTACTGGCACAGAAGCAGAGCAATGCATTGCTTTGAAATATAGCATACTAAACTGATTTTTTTTTTTAGGTGGGCCTCTTTTTAAGTGGCTAAAATACGTTTTCCCACCACCATCTACTGTAGGTAGTAGACTGACTATGGATAAATACCTTATACAACCCCACTTCAAAATGCCCAAACTGTCCCTTTTTAAAGACAAAACAAAGGTGAACTGTAAATTGTTACTCAAATGTCCGTTTTAAACATCCATCACAGTTAACAGACTCACAGATCAACTGTTGGCTTGTTTACAACCCCACTTGCAGTCTGACCGCTAGTGTTTCACGCCCCATTGGGCTTTGTTGCAGTGAACTGGTTGAAATAATGGCCAAAATGATTAAGATACATCTGAATTGACCTTAAATGTGTTTGAGGCCAAAGAGTCTGCAGATTTTCAGACTTCAAGGTTCCACCAAGTAAAATCACAGAGTAAAACACCTTCAACCAACCAATTAGGATCACACACTCTAGTGTTTAAAGGTATATATTCACTTACTCACTTTCTTGCAGGGAGTTGGATGAGAAAGTCAATGCATCTCTCCATTCGAGACAGCTTAGTCTAACAGTAGCTTCACACTGAATGGACAGATGAGTGAAATATCGATCTTCTCATCTAGGGATGTCCCGATCAAGTCATTTCAAATTGAATATCAGTGTCTACTAGGTCCTGATCCAATATATACAGGTACACAGCGCAGACTTTAAGTGTATTAAAGTTATTAAAATCATATATATTCTTGAGATATATCTGCTTTGCATACAAAATGCCTGCATCCGATGTTCCTTTAATGGTTGTAATTTTTTTTTTTACACAATAAAATAAAAAGGTGTCTCCAGGGAGTTGCTCTCCAGTGTTTGTTGCTTCAGTGCAGCCTGTTGAGTTTATTTTCGCTGTCTGTTTATCTTTTGCAGTGATTACATAAGAAAATGACTCTTGGCTTTTGGCTCGCAGGGCCTCTGTTGCACTTACAGGAGCATAGAGAGACAGGCAGCGGACAGAGTTGATACCTGAGAGTAAAAACACCTGTGACAGCTGAAGTAAAACAAAGGATCGGATGGGGCTCAATATACCAATCAGATAAAAAAAATGCTTTGAACAGCCCAGATAAGACATTGGATCGGTACATCACTATTATCATCTAATTCTCAGCAGCAAAGCGAATAAGTGTATTTCCAACAAAACTAGCTATTCCCTCAGTTAAAATAAAAATCTACTGGCTCTTGGCTTAGTTGTTGAGCTCCTGAGCCCCTCACATCTTGTGTGTCGTGTATGTGTGTGTCGTGTCTGTGTGTCATGTGTGTCATGTCAAACAGCCACCAACGTGAATCACCCGGGCTGTCCTCCCCAGTCTGGCTACGTGAGAGGGTTCAACCATCCATGTGGTTGCATCTGTGTCCCCATCTCAGGGTGAGTACACTAACACACACCAAACAAGTACTGTGTGTGTGTGTGTGGGTGTGTGTGGGTGTGTGGGTGTGGGTGTGTGGGTGTGGGTGTGGGTGGGGGTGTGGGTGGGGGTGTGGGTGTGGGTGTGGTGTGGTGTGGTGTGTGTTTCAAGAGGATATTCTGGCCAGAATTGATCTTCACTGTACTACTTTTTGGTATCACAGTTTGTCTGTTTGTGTTTGTTCCACTCCATTTCCAGAGAGCCCAACAAAACCCAGGTGTTTAGTTTCTTCCAGACGGACCTGGGCGGCTTCCTCCCTCGCTCCGTGGTCGACTCGTTCTTCCCCTCCAGCATGGCCGAGTTCTACGGCAACCTGACCAAGGCCGTCAAATCCCTCAAGGACCTTTGACACCAAGAGTTAAGAAATCTGTGTTCAGACCTGAGGTCTACTGACAAGTCAGGCCAAAAGTTCATTCCATTTTACACTGAGATTATCAAACTATCGCTTATTTCCAATAGATCTAATCCACGATTTATGTTTAATGTGCATTCCTATATTCCTGTGTTACTGCAGGAGAAATCCAGTAACAGTCAACCCCCTCATTTGAAAGCGGTCTAAATATTGAAAATTCCCAAAATAAGAATGAGGGCTTGCTCTTGATAAAATGAAAATAGATGCAAAATCTATATTTATACATGTGCTAAAAGTACAGAACATTTAGACTTTTTACCAGAATGATAAGACACCGCCAACATTTTCTCTGCTTATAATTGCATACTTCAGTGTGTACAGTAAACATGCATGTTGCATGGACCTTATTTACCCTATGCTGGTATCAGATTATTGGTTTGGAGTACTACTGACTCATACCTCATATTTAGTTGTTTGTGTTGTACTTGAAATGCCATAGTTTTGCTCATCTCCACTTAACTGTAAACCATGAATATCTGCCTCTTTTCTCAGCTACACTGAAGCACAGGTGGGATGGCACCGGTGGCCTTTTTAAACAAAGGCAGCTTTTTTTTTTTTCTAAAAGAACGCCTTTTGAACGTGACATGTTTAGTGCTGCTCTGTTGAGCTGAAAAGTGTCCTCCCCTTTTTTTCACGGCATTGGTTTCTGAAGGACATTTCCCCTTTCTTTTTCTTCACACACACAATAAGATCCCATGTAACATACATTTTCAGATACAATAAGATACACGATTGTGGTAAAATAACACGATTTAGGATATAAAATAATGCGATTGCACTAATAGGCTGATGTTTTCAAGACATCGGGCTATTTTATTTAGTAGGTGGTACTGTAAAAGTGAGTACTGGGAAGAAGTGGTGCACTTATGAGCTTTGTTCCTCTCAATATGAAACGGTTCCACTGCATAATTATGGATCAAGGATCAAGGTACGTTAGTCTTAACCTGATGGGAGTCAAAAGGAGACACCGTTAAAGTGAAAATGATACAAAAATGCACCGATATAATGTTTCTCAACAATATTATGGGTACAGTAAGGTAGACTGAAGCTCTTTATTGCTTCAGTCTACATTGGTCAGATCCATTTTAATGTCCTTTCTTTATTTGGGGCTAGTCCCTTTATTGAAAAACACAAAAAGAACTCACTGTTGTGAATACTTAAAAGTCTAGTTCTATGTTAGGAGATGGGTTTCTGATAAATTAAAAGAAAAAAAAGTTTCTAGTTTTATTTAGTTTCCGTCCAGCTTGTGTGTGTTGTACGATTATCTCTGAGCTAAACTGTCTGTCAGTGGAGTCTGGTGGGCCACAGTGCCCAATTTGTTTTGCTCTGAGATGCTGGAGTTCTAGTGCGACAGCTAGTGGCAGTGAAGTTTGTTTATATAACCTTTTAAGTAAATTTTTTATTAAACTTACTTACTTTTACTTAAGTAATGTTTTAAATGCAGGATTCCTTAATGGAGTATTTATACAGTACTGTTTAAGGTTTATACTGGTATTAGTACCAGTTTTAGTACTTTTAATACTTCACCACTGCCTTTGTTAGATAAGACAGTCAGTTTTAAGCCTAAAGATTCCTCTGTAAACACTAGTGTGGCTTCCTGAGAAAAGTAAAAGCATGAGCTCCTGACAAAATGCAGAAGAAAGAAAATCAAGACTGAATCATGTTAACATTAAAAGAAGCTCATCCCGCACACCTTTTTAAATAGTTACTAAATGATGGATTTGCTTTCCATGTGTTGGGATATGTTGTAGTAGTAGTCAGTTTGTTAATCCAGTTCCAGTATGTACATGATATGTCCAGTTAGTCCAGTTTTATTGTAAAGCGACCTCACTTTCTTGACACTGTAGTCCATCATAGTTCTGTATGGGGGGAAAGAAATGAGGAAATGTCCTTGTGGAACTTGAAGGGGCCATTGATCAGAGTATTTCCACTTAGTCTTTAGTTCTTACTCAACACTTTAGGACACATAATAGTAGTAATAATAATAATAATAATAATAACTAGACAGAGGTCCATCCACACTGAGCATTGGCTTTATTTATATCATGTCTTGTTTTTGAACGTAAAGACTCTTTCAGGTCCTCTGTAACTGCACACTAATATCAAAGCTTGCAGCACTTGAAAGAAACATTCTAAAATCATGTCTGTATTTAATAACATAACAATGTAAAAGTTGCTTCCGTATTATATTTACTTAAATATTATATACGAAATATACAAATGTTAGTTATTCCACAACTGCCAGAATCCTCTTCAGGTATTCAGAAAAAAACAGGCATCACCTCAAATGTACTGTACTCATTTCAGTCTTCACACACTGAGGCTCACCATGGTATGGAATAAGAACTTGCACATATTGTAAGCCTTCCCTTCATCACGGTTGAAGTGGACAGTTCCTTAATGATAACCGAGGGATTTTCTCAGAGTCAATTGGATTAAATGTATTGCTTGAACATGAACTTGAACTTCATGAAGAAATCCCTCAGTGAACGAATAAAGCCGAGTATGTGAGTCAGGGAAGGCCGGATGAAAGATTTGATTAGTGTGTTGCTCTACCCACTTTCTCCAGAGCCTTCATCTGTATGATAAGCCATAAACTGTAGGATGACATGTTTTAACCAGTCTTTTTTAGGAGTATCAGGATTCCTTTACAAACGTTTTGGCGCTTTACCTGTATCATGTTTTTACCTCACAGTGTAGCCAGTAATCTTAATGAAAGACCTCTTAACCACATCCCACCAGTTCCAAACCATGTGAGATTGAGATGTTATTGCTTCCATGTGGATCTACAGGCATTTTCATGTGTGTGTTGTTTAAATGGAGCCAGAAGGTTTTTTTTATGTGCAACTGTCAGCGTACGTATAGGTAGCTGCTAAAGTAGAATAAACAATTCATGAGGAGCACAAAGTGAAATCAATCAATTTTGCAATTCTGCATGCATTCACACATGCAATAACCTTAAGATACAGATCTTATGTACATTCTAGATGGAAATGGGTTCCTTGTCCAGTTTATAGGAAGCGTCTGCTGGGTTATCTGCAGAATCACCAGCAGCTTTTTCACCAGATTTCTACTCATTTCCAATCTAGAGCTGTAACCATTAGTCAATTAATCGATTCAATATCAACTATTAAATTCAACGCTAAAGAAAAACTGTCTAAATGTTTTTGGTGTCAGCTTCTCAAATGTGAATATCTTCAGTCCAGTAAACGTAATATCGATTGGGCTAATGCTCTCGATTGTTTACAAAACAAGACATTTGAGTAGCTGATATAGTAACCTAATAATTAACCACATCTAACATAGACATCACTATTGGTAACAACAACAAACAACAGTTCTGACTCTTCAAATGTTTGTTTTTTTCGAGTGAATCAAAAACATAAAACATTATTTGGCTTTCACAGAACATAAATCAAACATTTTGCATAAGAATTCAAAATAAATTATTATTTTCAACCAATAATTCATCTGCTTTAATTATTGGAATAATGCATAATATGCATTTCCCATTATCGCATCCCATTATTATATCTCTGCTTCTGAGGATGGACTTTGGGAAACATTGATCAACATTTTCTGACAATTTATAGACCAAACAAGTAATCGATTAATTGAAAAAATGATCGACAGACGAATCAATAAAAATAATTGTTGTGTTGAGCCATTCTCTGAAGCTGTAAGCTGAAGTCCTGTGACGACAGCAAACAACTGGAAAATAGATTTTTCTTGAAAATTGGCTCAACCTAAACAAATGGAGCAGCCTGGGATTCTGTATTGATTCACCCTTTGTGCATTCTCTGACCTCAGTGAACTTTGTATCCACCATGAGGAGGCGGTCATAGAGCATGTAAACTATGGCAGCCAGTCCTGGTTCAACCCTTTAAGTATTAGATAGTGACTGTGATGGCGTTTTTGACCACCAATGAGACCAAATACCCAAAGTCTTGTGTTCTGTGATTGAGATACCAATCCAAGGTTCCCTGTGTGCACTGTTCTGGCAACCAACAACCAGCTCAGACAGTTCTTGTCTCCTGTGTTACACTAGTTCAGTGGTTCTCAAGGTTCTATTCTTTCTTCAGAAGTGGAAAAAAAGTTCACGCCCTCCACCCCACAGTGTATGACCAATGTAAGCAACTAAAACAGGATCCAGGCTGAATTTGAATTTGAAAACTGTTATTAAACTGTTATTTTCCTGCATAAATTACATTAATTCAACCTAGTTTTACTCCATATTTCCCCCTGGTCATCCCTGCCCCCCACAGTTTAAGAACCACTGTACTAGCTGCAGGTTGTCCGGAACGGAAGAGTATTAGGGCCACGTGGAAAATGTATTTGGTTTCTAAGTTGTAAGTTAAAAATAAAAGTCAGAATTGTGACACATGGGCCTAATCCTCTTCCGTAGTCTGAAGAGCACGTCGTCTTGGGTAATTTAATGACTGGCACAACAGAATATGTATATTGATCCATGTCAAATGTTTATCATTTTAATCATCGTACTGAGAGCAACTGCTACTGTTCTTGAGTTTTACATGTCTCGTCAGAACACATGAAACTGTTTACCTTGTACTGTTTCTGCACCCAGTTAGTTTTGTATTTCACCAGCATTAAAAGGATTAATAGGAACATTTCGATGTCCATCACTTGTCATCTTCTGTAACTTAGAAAGTTCTCACACTTGAAAAAGCCATGTACAAACTTGGAGAATGAAATATCACACAGATTCTGGCTCAGTTTTCAACACTTTTATACAAGTTATTCTCCAACACGAGATGTAAATTGTTTTTGTTTCTTTAAAGTTTACTGTAATAGAAAACATTTGTTGTGTGGTTGCATACAGAGACAGTGTGAGGGCGCAGTGGGACATTTTGAGCACAGTAGAAGATTGGCACGTGAGCAGGGTGCTAAATTTGTCTACCGGCAAAACGGCTAGTAGATGTTCAAATTTTAGCAGCCACTCAGTAAATGACATCTTTTTTTGGCGGTCGAGTGAACCTCTTGCATATTTTACCAGAATTTGGCTGGTGCTAATTTTTCATCCTGAACATGAGTTAAAATGATTACCACAATCAAAGAAATCTGTTCTGGGCTCAATAGAAGTTTTAAAAAGACACGTTTGCCCTCTCGCATACCCCCTGCTCTACACACGCTTTGCTACAAACTTGCTCCATGTACAGTACAGGAGGAATTGAGATCATTTCTCTTAAAAATGGAATTTGTGTGCTTGCAAAAAAATCTTTGTCCTAAAAATGTCCCGTGCGTGCTCATGTTTATACACAAAACTCTAACATTCCATTGAGGCAAACTCAAAGCTACAGAGTCAACCAAAGTGCATTATACTGCTTGATCTTCCGTTTCCAAATACTTACAGTAACACTGCTACGAAAAATAGACCTTTGCTTTCATATATATAATTCTCTTCTTTTACATGTGACTCCATATCTACTAAACATCCAGGAGCATTAAAAACAACACTGTACTTCAAACACGTGACTGCCTTTATCAACCCAGCACAGCAGTGTCACAGATGTGTTGCTGAGCAGTTGAATTGGGTTGCATTGGTCTGCACAGGCGTTGCCTTTTACCGGAGTTCTTCCCTTCTCCTGTCAGGTTTGTGCAAATGTCTGAACTGAATCAGACTGAGCCGGTTTGACTTCAGGACTGATTTGTAAGGCAGGGGCGCAAATAATGTGAGACCACCTGCCTCACATTAGCTGAAATCAGTCTTAGATGAAATGTTAAGTGGCTCACATGGTCTGATTTGTGGCTTGCTGTTTTGTGCTGTGATGGATACAGCTGATAAAATTGGAAGTGTGCTACTCCAATGTCAGGTTGCAAAGCTGTTTACCAATATCTTTGGCCTAAAACTTTTAAATAACTTTAGTTTTTTAATAGTGTTTTAGGGGAAGTTTTACTGCCTCTTACTTAGCCGTAGTTTTGGCCAATCTAAACAAAATTGCCACATATTTAAGGAGGAGGCGTCATGGAGAAAAATAAAGCAAATTAGTTTGTGCAATTTGTAGCATGCATGAATTAATGATCAATTAGCCAAATTACTGTTTTCAGGGCATTCTAAAAACTCTAAAGATTCATAATCTGACTTCAAGGCCTTAAAATATCTTGATTGGATTATAGCTGCAGTAGGTCGATTTATAGAAATATATATTTTTTGTCTCATTTGCTGAAACTTTCACTATATCCTGACAGTAGAACATGAGACAGATAATCTTTCAAACAATCAGGTTCCTCTGGCTCCTCCTAGTGCTCCTAATGGGATTTACAAGAATCCACCGGGCCTGAACCAAAACAACCAGTCCGAGCCAAGAAAGGTGGGTGAGTGTTGAGTCTCCTTCCCAAAGCGTCAAATACAGATACTTTGGGACCCTGGGAATGAGACTCTGCAATCAACTCTTTAAACCAAGGACACAGTAAAAGATTTCAGCAAATATGACAAAACATTCTTTTTATAAAAGTTATGCACAGCAGCTTTAATGAAGTTAACTTGTATAAGGTCGTATTTTTCAGTCTGGTTTAAAATGTGTTTTTAAATAGGGATGCACCCACATATCAGCTGAACATTGTATGGGCCAATATTCACCTTGTTGACTGACCTTAGCCTATCAGCAAATAAGATGGCATTCAGTGATATCAGTGGCAGTTGTTCATTTGTTGTGTCAGATCAATTTTGTATCGGCTAAATGTTGTGTTGGATGGATGCTGACTTGGATATCGGAGAAATCATCACCTTTTCCAGCCCTGGCACAAATTGCACACACACCGCTGTGCTCCCGGCAGCAGCACGGACAGTGCTGTTCAGCTCTGATTCTCACAGCTTGGATGAGAAGAGAAATAGAGTGACAGGGCTCCCACGCATCCTGGAAAGTCTGGACATTTAGAGACTAGATCTCCAGTCGTGGAAATGCCTTGGAAATAAATTTAAAAAACCAAATATCCTGAAAAATAATCTATGTTGTCCTGAAAAATGTTAATTGTATGTTAGCCCCTCCCTAAGTGGGTTAACCAGACGTGAAGTGGAGCACAAGAAACGTTTTAAACGCTCTTTTCTTTTTGACCATATCAGTCAGTCTAGCTGTTCACAGCAGACGCGGAGTGGAATGGACTTGCAGCAACCATTTTGGCCTGAGACTCTTCATTATTAAAAAAGGGGGCATTAAAGTTAAAGTCAATGCTGGGTCTACCGGTAACTAGGTAAGTGCTGTCCTGAACTGTCAAGAAAAACTCCTGGAAAATGATTTCTTAAAAAGAGTGGAACCCTGGACTGAGCTGCAACCAGGCAGAAATATCTGTAGATATCTTTGTTTTCCTGGCCAACGCGGTGAATAAATAACAACAGAAAGACAGCGGTGTGTCCATCGGGTATTGGCCCAGGATTTCACAATCTGTGCATCCCTAGTTTATGGGAACTCTTTGTATTGATCATGCTGTACCAGCCGTTATATAGTCATCATTACAGCTGTACAGATGTTTTTCCCCAGGACACCGGCTGGGCTCTGTATTCAACAACTCAGATTTCACTGTAAACACAACAGCAGTGGGACAGTCCACAGACCTCTGTCAAACTAACACTGGGACTGTTTTCTAATAAAGGTGAGGTCTGCAGATGATTCACAGTAAGTGGGACACCAGTGCCAGTGCCAGTACCATTCTAGGTAAGTGAGAAAATGTGGCTTTTGGGTGAACTGACCCTTTTAATAAACTAATATCTGGTCAGAAAGGTGAAATAAAAACAATAGGAATGCATTTGGAAGTTGTCCGCTGAACCACCATGTCTAAGGCGGACCACCGTGACATGGCTGATGCCTGATTTCTATGAGACTGTTAATGAAAGGCCGGCATCAGTGTACCTCGAGTGTTATTGTGTCTTTCATTGGCCTCTCCGTTAGTACGCAGCTCCCAGCAGCTGTGTGTCACTCTGCCGCCCCCTGCCTCCTCCTGTAGACCACTGCGATGGATCCTTCCGGTAAAGCCTTGATCATGTTCCAGGCCTCGAAACGGGTCATGTCCTGCAGACTGACTCCCTGGACCTGAAGCAGCTGATCTCCATGCTGAAGACCGCTCTGCTCCGCTGCTCCACCTGATACAGACACACACACACACACACACACACACACACACACACACACACACACACACACACACACACACACACACACACACACACACACACACACACACACACACACACACACACTCTGTTGGGTTGGGCACTAAAGAACGACTCATTAGTAGCTCATAGTAATAATGAGATAAATGGTTTGAATATGTTTCAGTACTGATAACAAAACATTTTGTTCAATTGTTAGTTTTTTTTAAAAAGCAAAACAAAGACGGTTTCAATTTTTGTAAATTTTTTTGTCCAGGCTGAAGTGTGTTATTTATGATTATTATTATAGGTAAAATGACTGGTTTTGTCAGTGGAGTCTGGTTGGCCGTAGTGCTCCCAGACATTGTCTGAGATGCTGGTGCTCTAGTGCAACATCCTGTTGGCATATACATTTCATATATAAGCTTTAATCACGTCCTCTCCTCCTTTAAGAAAATCAAGATATCTGACTTTGCTCTCCTTCCTGTGAGAAGATTCATTCAGATAATTAACATCAGTAAGGAAACAATTTAAGAACTGATAGCTGATTAGTGATGGTTAATAAGAACTTATTGGAAGCTGTTTTGTTGTAAATATAATGAAACCGTGCTGTGTAATGTCAGCATCCTGAGTGTACCTTTAAAGATCCTGTTGATGACTAAAGGTCTGTCTCCCTGGATTGAGCCTTTCCCTCCCTCCAGAGTAAACCCAACTCCTCCAGCTCCTTTCTCCAGCTCCACACTCACTGGAGCTCCCATCTCCTCCACTGCAACACAAAGCACCATGAAGTTAACCTATCACCAGGAGAGGCTCAGACACTTGAGGTGTTAGGAGTGTGTCTTGTTGTGTGACTTACCGTCAGGGATGGGCTTTTCGCTCCTGCAACCTCCTCCCTCTCCTCCTTCCTCCTCTGCCTTCTTGCTGACGACCACCACAGCCAGCTTCAGATTGCGGGCCTGACGCAGAGCATCAGTGGCGTCGGCGTGTGTGACACCGCGCAGTGTTTGTCCATTAATCGACAACACCTCGTCTCCTTTCTGTATGGTGCCCTCCTGAGCCGCCAGGCCGCTGGGAAACACTCTGTGGACCTGGATGAAGACAATCAGTGTCACACACAGTGGCAGAGAGTGTACAATGCAGAGTAGAGGGAGCAGACTTTGACTTTGACACTGGCAGCAGGGTTGTTTATGGTACGTATACTGGGGCTTGCTGGCATGCCTTTTATTCTCTGGCATAAATCTCCAAATGAATAAGATTAATACTGTCGGTCAGATCAAACTGACAGCTTGGTCTTCGATGTGTTCTCTGTTTCACACTTCACACTATCCCCTGGCCAGAAAGCCAGGACACTCACAGTACATCTCCAAATTCTTGCTAAGAGTTTCCTGATGCTCAAGTATTATTGTCGTACCGTATTTGAAGAGCCAAACTGACTTTATTCTTACAAATGATTCCTACAAAATGCTGTCATTACCAAGTGCACAACACTAAATCACATGCTCAGTCCTCAGTGTACAATATTAGCACCAGTTTCACTTAGAGCTCCACCGATATGTCATTCTGGTGATACTATCAGCCAATATTGGCCTATATGTTACCTGATATGCACTAGGGGTGTCTTAAGTATTAAAAAAAAATAGTATTGCGATATTTTCTTTTGTGATATTGTATTGATTTTCAAAAACACTGTATTGACTTATGTTTAAACCTCCAACCTCTAGATAGCCATGTTATAAATGTAACCTGAGGGCTACGACGTTGATGTTACAGAGACTGTGATAAATACAAATGCAGATCTCACTGTTCTGGTTGCATAAAAAAAGTCTACTTTTTTCCTGTGAGTTTTCCTAAAATTTGACTTTTTTAAAAATTGGAATATATGACCTAGTTTACAGTATTGCAATATATGGCAAGATATTGAATTGTTACCCCTGTATTGTGATTTGTATTGTATCGCCATATATATATATATATGAAAACAGTTTTTTTCAGTATATAATGCAGGAAAAAATGAGTGTAATAATATATTGGTGTCACTGCAACATTTATCCAGCAGAGTGCACTGTAATTTACAATACTGTGGCAAACAGAACAGAGAAAAAGAGAAGAAGCAGCTCTGAGCAATGTCAGCTACAATTGGTTGACTGAGTTAGTCAATGTTCAATTATTTAAGATGTTCAAGTATATTTATCTTAAATATTATTTAATAAACGTATTTCTGTAAGAAAGCAGCTTTCTGAGTACCTTTGCAGAGTCATATCTGTGCACAGTCCACATAGAAAAGCTTTAGTCTGATTGCTTAATACTAAGTGTAAAGAACAATGACTCAGTGAACATGTTTGCACTGACTGAAAAAACTGGTCCCGCTCAACAAAGCGAACACTCTTCTTGTTTTCTCCACAGGTAAGGCCTTTACATAATAACTGAGTTACTAGATATTGACCTGTCTCTCCTAACAAGTAACTTCTACTACAGTAATGTGGGACTTACTGTAAGATAAAGTCAGACTCTAGACTACACATCTCTGTTTACAGTATAGGATATATATCTATACCTACAGTAATATATGGAATTTATATGTGAGTTAGGATCTTATTGAATCTTTTGTATGTTCTAATGTGATCGGTATGAATGTGTAGTGAGTGCTGCTCACTGTAGGAGCTTTGCTCTCCAGGTCAGACCCTCCAGCGATGCTGAAGCCCAGACCAGCTCCCTCCTCTTTATGCAGAATCACAACATGGATGTCCACCAGTTGCTGTGGAGAAAGAGGTACAGTAGAGGTACATCATGTATGATCAGCTCAGATATATTACAATGAAGGGACATCTTTCACATGTGATTATACACAGGTTTAATTACCTTCAGCGTCTCTTCGTCCAGAGCTTTGACTTCCTGGATCATCTCCTGTATCTCCTCTGAAGGGATGGCTGAGATGACAGAGTGAACACTAGCAGAAGTGACAGCTGCGTCGTCATGAGATCCCCCCTCCCCTCGCTCAATGGTACACTCCCTCAGTGTGGCCAAGCTGCGTTTACAAAAACAAAAGCACATTAGATGTGGAGATGTGTAAAGACACCTATGAGCATCGTGCGTGCGAGCAGTGTGTAATGTGCTGGATATAACAGCTGTTTTGACAGTAAAAACTTGCCACTGCTTCTCTGATAAAACAGGAAGTCATGTTTTTTTTCAACCTGAACCCACTTCCTTATGAATATAAAGCAGGCTCAGTGCACATTCTGGGTAAAGAGTCCCTGTTTAACCTCTCTTCGTCACATACATCTTACCTGACAGAGAATCCTCTGTCCTCTGCCTCAGACTCCTGAGGGTTCGTAACATCCACTGCAGAGGGGTCCTGCAGGTTTGGGGAGTGAGGGTTACCAGAGGGGTGCGTGGGTAGAGAACGCATAAACGCCTGTGAAACCTGGAACAAAAGCAAAACAACACATAACACATAAATTAGAAAAAACGTACCAAAGAGTATGAGGACTCTGCAAAGACAAACACGATAACATGTCTGAGTTCAGAGTTTTGAGAGAATATTAAGTCTATTAATTAAGTGTCATACCATATTTATAGGTAGAAATAACAGCAGAACATACTGAGAGAAATAAAAATACACATTAAAATAAGTGAAGAAAATATACATATAAAGTATGAAACAAATGCAGGAAATAAATTAGTGACAAAATCTAAAGATATCACAGTCCTTCCAGGATTTCACAGCCTTTTTGGGGATTTCACAAAGAATTGCAACACATGTTGTAATGTTTTCAGGCATTTTTTTGCAATACGATGGCAGGTGAAAGTGAAAATTGTAAAAGTAGTTTTGTATAATTTAATAAAAATCGAAGCCAACTTGTTCGAGTCAGAATAACATCTCTAGTAGTTTGGTGACGTATGGCTTAATGTTTTGCGCAGGCTATGATTTTCTATGATTTGCAATTATCTATGTAAAGTTATCTCATATAAGTTATAAATTATATACTGTTAATGGTCAGGCTGTACAACCTAAACTTTGAGGCACGGCAGATTGTGCACAGAATAGTTTAAAAATGAAAACTGTGAGATAGAAATGTAATTTAAAATAACTTCTGTCATATTTTGTTTCAATGTCAGCCTGCTACATAGACACAGTCATATATGTAGCACACATAGATCCAGGAAGAGTTTAAGTGCTAGTTCTACCTCTTTGTCTGACTTACAACAGTCAACAATAAACAATCTTCTTATTAGGAATTTTCTTAATGTTGGTCAAAATGGTTGTACTTGGAGAGGCTGATATTTTCTGAGGTGGCACACGGCGTAAAAGCTTCGAGAGACACTGGTAGAGATAATCTGGATGAACTGTTCTGACCCATCACACTTTGTTACAACACTGTTCCCAGATCTACTTCAGTGATTACAATGTTTATAACTGATGGAAATGATAGACAGAACTACTCAAATAAGACCAAAGTTGTACCCTTGAAACAATATTCAAAGTATATTCCCGTAGTTCCACACTTGACCGATTACCTGGTTACTGAAGGCGAGGATTCTCCCTAAACTCTCTCCCTCCAGGCCTCTCAGGGGCTGACTATCTGTGGATGGGGCAGCACTCAGAGTCGTGCTGGCCGGCTTTCCTGGGCTCTCTGCTCTGTCCCCCTCCGTCCCCTCCGGAAGACTTCTCCCTTCAGTTTGGCTGGATCTCATTGCAGGAGGTAGGACCTTGGACTCTGTGGAACTGCTAAGATCCAGTCTTTCTAGCTCAGACTTTGATGGTAAGTCATTCTTGTCATCATGGACTGGAGCTGAATCCTGTATCCCTGAGTTCAGATCAGTGCTGACGGTGTCAGAAAGTGGGAGCTCTGTAGGGGACTTGATGGGGGGAGATTCGTCTTCAGAGGATTTGGTTGATGTTTGACAAGCTTCAGAGGTGGAGGAGGTGATAGCGGAGGTGTCCGTCTCCCTAACAGATGCAGACTGGTTTTCCTGGATCTCTTTGGGGATTTCATCTTTGCCCTTCCCATAATCTCCATGTGAGGCAGGGTGACTCCTGGACTCCTTCTCCATCAGAGGAAGGGAGGTGGAAGGTGCCACAGGCCTCCTGTTGCCCCCCTTCTCTGGACCGTCTGAACTGGAAAAAGTCTCAAATGAATTGATCTTTTGTTTGATTGACAGGTTGGTTCCAGATGAAGCAGATCGGACTCCGAAGCTTCTGAAGCCCACAGCAGGCCTCTGCTCTGCAGGTTTAGCTTGCTTCTTCTGGCCCTGCTCATCCTGAATTTTCTTCACACTCTGGCGAAACCAGGTAGGCTTAGGCGCCACTGGGGGCCCCTTCTTTGCTCCTGGAGAAGTTTCAGATGTGATTTCAGGAGTCATGTCAGATGGAGGATCTGAAGTGGTGTCTGCGGCTGTGCCATTGAGCTCGGGGGTGTTCTCTTCGTCACTCATGGTAGCTGGCTCACTGTGGGCGTTCTGACGCTGTGTCCTGTCTGCAGTGTGGTGGCGGCAGTGATGGCGGTGGATGTCGGGCAGCTCTTCAGGGGAGCTGTCTGAGAGGCGAACCCAGGGGTCCTGAAGCTGCTCTTGGCTACGCTGCTCAATGCGGGCCTGTCTCCTCAGAGCGCCTCTCTTTGGCTGTGAGCAGAGCACAGCTGGTGGATTGCCTGTCCACACAACACAGAGAGCAGAAAAATCTGAGACATGGTTGTGTGTTTCAAACATTTTCATGTAACAAACTCATAGACACACATAGACAGACTCATTGTATTCTAATGGCACACACACATTATTTCCACACTTGACCTTTTTCCTTGCAGGTACTGTTTAGCTTTTCTATCATTGAGTAAACTGTGACATAAGTGACATATTTTATAGAAATTGTATATTATATTCAAGGCATAACAATAACAGTAGAGAACAGCTGATAAACTGTACAATGAACACAAACAGTGAACACAATAAGTGCAGGAAGTTTGTGTAAAAGCAGAGATTTGGATACATTTTGAGCAGATTATTAAATATTGCAGTTTATGGGAACTTTTTGTACAATTCTCTGTCTGTATTTCATTTTTATTTTTAACAATCGTAACTACCTAATAGGTTTCTTTATTTAGACAAATTCAGTGTTTTAGAGATTGTGTTCAGGTCTCAAAGTTGCATTTTAACCCTTTTAAGATTGCATCCTATTTTATACCCCTATTTAACAATATAAAATTCAATTTCTTTGTACTTTTATATAAAAATCTGATCTTTCTTCTTATGTAAAACGAAATATGATGGGTGCTTACATCAGCATGTACAAACCGATTTCGACCAATAATATCATGACATTCACCTGTCAATCAATCTTCAACTTTTAGCCACACAGAGCGATGCTAGCTAACTAACATCATGAATAGCTAATGGGGCTCACTGATTACTGTACAAAGACACAACTTCATCAGTGATTTGGGTGAAACTGGGCCCACTGCAGGTGCTAGCCCTCTCTGCAATGTGCCATCAGCTCCGCAACTGTCTAAAGGAAAGGCTGATGATCCACTAAATTCAGTGGAATCACCAGTGAGATGTATACTGTCAGAAAATGTTGAAACATTAGTCCATTACCAACCACAGTCCCCCCAGTAGGGGTCAACAAAGCTCCATGGGGGGGTCACAAGGTTTTGTTTTTAAGGCCTGTAAGAAATGAGAATAGGTCTATATCTCAGCAACTGGTTTCACTTCTGTGAAAAACATTAAATGTAAAGTAAATTGTCTAAAAGAACAATGACCAAGCATCAGGGACAAGAAAACTGAACTGAATTTGTCAGAAAAGACACCTATTAAGTCTGTATGATTGTTAAAAATGATAAAGAAACAAAAAAAAAGTTCCCTAAACAGGAAATAGTCTGCTCAAAATGTGTCCAAATCACTCGTTTTACACAGATTTCTTGCAGAGTTAACTGGTTGGGTTTATGAGTTTTGAATATAATATGAAATATCCCTTGAGGACAAAGGTTGGGAACCGCTGATCTATACTAGCCAATCTGATCGACTTTTTAAAATAACTCTTTATGAAGTATTGGCTTTACTTTATTTCCAAAAAATTGCTACCATCTGAGAAAGAGAAACGGAATCAGTATAATTTTGAATGTGAAAAGTTTATTGTTATAATAACAATGTTTTTCACGTTATATGTTCATGTTATTACGACATACAAACATAGCATGTTAACAATGTACTATTTATTTAAAGTGTTATTGTTATAAGTTGTCATTATAACAATATAAATTAAAGCTGCAGCCAGCGATGATTGGGCCATCGCAGTCCATGTCATGCACAAGAATCATGTGTAAACCATACCGTGACTTTTTTTAAAATCAGATGATTTAAAAATCAGACAATTGCCAGGCGTGCTTCCTGTTTGTTAAAATACAACACGTGCAAATCACCAAAAATTACCACGAAATGAAAAACCGCCCACTTCCTGTTGGATTTGGGGTATGGGTCCAAGAGGCTTTTTTGTTTGTAAATTGGTCTTGGGGGCGGAGTTTAAGGGGGTGTGGCAAATCAATTATGCAATTAATTGCGGAATAAAATACTAATAACCTGAACAGTTTCAATAGGGCCTAATTATCATGTTATATATTTTGTTGTAACAGTATAAGTTATGTTAGAAAATAAAATGTTTCACTTTATAACAAAATAAACAGTATATTGTTATAAAAAGAAAGTTTTTTCTTACGTAACAATATAAGTTACCGCAATAAAAAGTTTATTATGATATGTTATCTCATTATACTGTAATGTAAAACACATCTTATTATAACTAAGTAATTAGGTTATAACAAGATAAATAATATAAGTCATTTATGAGGCTGGATCGCAAAGATTTTATCTAGGTCGTAAATACATTTGCAGAATTTCTTCCTCCGGCTAAATGCATATATTTTTACTCATTTATAAAGTATTTAAAATGTGTTCATTGTTTTACTGATGAGAGGAATGAAAAACAATGAGACAGCCTATTAAATGTGCTCAAATGCATTCATTAAGTCTTATTTATAATGTATGTGACGTGAGTGAACAAATTCATAAAACAAAGTTGTGATTTATCAAATGAGTATCTCTTCAATATGGCTGCTTCATCTGTTTAAGAAAATATCCTGTGATGCAGAAAGAGCAGCAAAATACGTTCAGGAACCTTCATTTATGCACACATTTTCTCATTGTGATTCTGATCCGTTTTTCTCTTTCTGGTACAGCTATACACTTCAATGATAAGTATTTTTTTAATCAAAATTTCACTTTCCCCCGACCATGGCCCTAAAATGACATATACCATGAGAGAGGATTTTAATCATACGGCCACTCCTGCATGTATAACGATCTGATGGGTGTGGTTTCTAAATCTGGTAATACTACATACAGCCAAGATAATTTCAAGTATAGTAAATCATACTAAATTTGAAGTTAACATTGTAACTTTTGCTCGTGGATCCCTGTGAGTGTAACTGAAGCAGGTGGTCCTTGCTGCAACCCCAATTGAACTCCACTGTTACACCCTCATTGAATTTCATTTACTGACAAATAAAAAGCCGGCCTCAAACAGGAAATGGAACCTCTGTTACTTTCAAGTCAAACACTGATAAGCACAGCACCATCTCCTGCACGCTGTCACACTTGAGTTAACTGCATGGTTAATCAGCTAGTCCTGAACTTGCATTCAGGTGGTTTCGTGTAAGGTAATAGCACTTGTCTCCTACCTGTGTGCAGTCTGTCGTTGGTGCAGGCCGCGCTGTCTGGATGGGTGAAATCTTCTTTGCTCCCCTCTGACTGTTCTCTTATTCGTTCTCCTTCCTGCTGCACAAACAGGAAGCATTGTGTTACATCAGCTTCTCTAGCTGCAACCACAGAGAGGTGCAATAATGAACCGTGCTTCCGCTCAGACATTCATCACTGCTGCTGCTTTCACACTTTCATTCAGCCAGTAACAGGCCCATAAGCTGACCAGCAACGAGCTTGATGCATACGCACAGGGGTTAAACGGGGATCTGTGAGGAGGTGGAGCCCTTGTCCAATGATATGGGGCGGGCTGGTTTCCAGACGGACTATTTCGAAAAGAAAACTGAACTTGACATTGTGTCCTGTGGTTGTAGATTGTCCAGAGTAAAAAGGGCACTGTTTCTGGAAAGAGATGTAGCTACTGATTTTCCTAGATGTCACACAAACGCCACTACTGCAAATATTGTGAGCTCCGGCCCAATTTAACTCCTGCACACAGGCACATGGCATGCATTGCTTGCACTGCTTGCATGCTGACATGCACACAAACACACAGATATGTGTAAAAGCATGCATTATTATCATGATCGGAACATAAGATCGGTATTGTAAGAATCATATTATTGCATGTGGACTACTTATTCATTCTGTCAGCTGAATGAATATACATACACTACATGGCCAAAAGTACACCTGAACACTCCAGCCCAAAATCACACAGAAGTAAATAGACAGCGGTTTCCACATACGTTTGGTCATAGAGTATACATACAAGAACTAAAAAATAGAACAATACATTTAGTAATGCATGCAGTAGTCCTCTATTTTGGTTAAAGGACCAGTGTGTGAGATGTAGTAGCATCTGGTGGTGTATTTACACACAACACCTTTGCCTCAGCATCCTGTCCAGAGTGTGTAGGAAAAACATGAAAGGCAATATCTGTTTGGTTTGTCCACTCTGGGCTACTGTAGCAACATGGCAGTTAAACATGATCGCCTCCCTCTAGATAAAAACAGCTCATTCTAAGGGAACAAAACCACAGTGATTCTTATATTCAGGTGATGATACACTAATGAAAACAAAGCTATGAATATTATATTCCATTTCTGACAATAGATCCTCCTAAATGTTACACACTGGGCCTTTTAAAACATACTTTCTATTAAGGCATCCATTATAAAGAGTTTGCAAGCTGTAACTAGTGGCTTTATTATTGTTGAATAATTTACTAATGATTTATAGATCAGTTATAGGCCATTTATCAGAACAACTTCTGAGTTGCACGCTAGAAAAGTGCCTCTCTAAAAGTAAGCATGTAAATGTTAAAAAGTTGTCCAAATGACACCAACCCTTAATAAAGCCTTCAATTACAACTTATGAACCCTTAAGTTGTACTGAAAACACATACAGAAAAGTACTGCAAGTAAACACTGCATTTAAAACAACTGACCCATCCTAAGTCCTGCCTCTTCTTTTCTCTGTGCTCCAATAAGAGTGGAGCAAGCCTCAGTCAGAACCTCATCAACTTTCTCCTTTCCTGTACTTAGATATGCCATGTGCTAGGCTAATCTATGATGAGGTTAAAAGATATAAGCGACATATATGTATAGTGGTTGTCTTTTAGACTAAAGCCTAGCCTAGCACATAGCATTTGGTTGTTGTACAGGAAAGGAGAAATATGACTGAGGTTCCACAAGGGTGGCAGGACTTAGTAGTCTATGGTAGTCAATGACAAGGCTTTTATTTATAAAAAGCCAAACGTGTTCAGCATGCTTTCACCAGCAAAACACTGAAAGCCACATCACTTCACATACATTCCTTAAGAGTAACCTCAGGGTGTTTCTCAAGGCCTTGTATATACTGCTGAAGAACTGCAGGCAGTGGAAGGAGAGGAGTGTGTTACATTTTTTCAGAAGAAGCATGATTAGTAGAAGCAGGAACAATACATTGACAGTGCAGTGAGCAGGTAGCAGTGTCCCCGCCTTCCTTTCGAATGTTTCAGAGAAGGAACTCAAGTGGAAGTGAAAGAGACTGTGATCTTAGACATACTTTCAACATCCTTATATGGGCACAGAACTTAGACACTGTTTGATAAACCAAATTAGCTACTACTCTCAGACCGTGGAAGGTCTGTGAACAAGAAAAAAACAACATAAATGATACACTTTAAGTCTAAAAAGCTGGAATAATGATTATGATGTTTATTTTCTTCAGATTTTTTGGACACAAAAAAAATGGCAAAAAAGTGCTAGCACACGAACCTGACAGATCCTGACTAATTATCGAGTTCTGACCCGGGTTAGAGACATTTTCCTGTGTAAAACTTTGGGCTCAGTTTTGCATATTTTTAAGAAATGTATTTTTTCTTTCTCTGTCCCCAACTGTCATGGCCCCATGGGAAGAGAGGAAAAAACAGACTCTAGTTCATTTTTGTATTAGCCTGGTGAGCTAATGGTCAGTAAATTATTAAATTATTAGATTAAAAATCTAACCTTCTCTGGTTGGATTTGGGTCTCAAATCTGTAGCACTACCAGTCCGGTTTGGTCAGGTCAGATTTTAGACACTGGTCCAGGCTGGGTTCTAAGATCAGTCTTAGTCCTGTACATGTCCCTAAGGGCTAAACAGCTGTTGTTGTTGCTGTATTTATGGACTTTATCATTCCTTGTTCTTAATTTGCAGGCTGCCACCACTTTCCTCATATCATTGTTTTGCTAAACAGGAAGTTTAATGTTGCCATGGTGTCAGGGAGGTATGTGTGGGCTTCAATTTGCATGAAAAGCCATGCTGCATAAATAGCATTGATTCTTTTTGCACTGTTACTATGGAAACAGACAACTATCACTATTAGTTTTGATCCTATTGATTCTTTCAAAACAAGTTAGATTCATGCACCTGTCATACTGTATATTTGCAGTAAGAAAAAGTTGGTGAAAGTGAATACCACTGTGTTCCCATCAAACATGATTTAAAAGGTGCCCTGTGGAAGTTTTCGTTTACCACTCGTTGTGCTCTGGATCATTGTTTTTATGAACAGGTCACCCTTTTCTTTGTATTTCATTCTGTACAAACCTGTACAGAGCACAAGGGTAATGCACAGAACAATTTTTTGACAATAGTTTCACACTATTTCACTAAACCGTTAATTAAATGTAATAATTAAGGCTGTGGTCGCTTTGAGTGGGATGTGAACTGTTTTACAGGTTTTACAGCCTGTTTAACTGAGACCACTCCCTCTGCTGTTCAACAGAGTGCTGTACCTGGCAGCTGCTGTGTGACGAGTGCTCCAGTCCTTCATCTCTAACTGGGGATCCTCTACTGGAGCCGCTGGAGTCTCCATTATAACCCTCCTCACTGGTCACATCCTGAGGCCAGCAGTACCGACGTGGAGCAGCGCGCACCCTGCAGCTGGACTACAACACACAGCTGTATTAAGTAAGACGACAGTGTCTATAACTTACTTCACTTTTGATCGAGTGATAAAAGAGACAAAATAATGGTTTAGCGACTCTGAACACTGTGTGATTGTTTCCTGCCAGATGCAAAGGCCTAGTCAGGCTCGTAAAGCTCACAGCAATATATTCATGTCTACTGGCACATGTCCCGTTAGCCATGGGACTGGTGGAACCTTCAGGGTCATAGTTAAGAGTAAATGGTTTATTGTTGGTTGTTGACTTTGTATGAACCATGTGAAACATGTCATATGAATATAGTAGAGCACTGTACTTTATTTAGCTGCTGCTGTACACAGTGGACAATCAGCTATCACTAAAATAAATGTACAGTCAAACACACAACAATCCTCTGACTCTAGATTCTTCATCCAAATGCAGTTTGCATTGAAGTCAGCTGTTGTGACTGAATAGAGGATACTCTTTAGACAGAGACAGGAGCAGTGGGTGGTGATTTACTGCACTACAATAATAATATAATAATATAATTCTGAGATGTTGGTCTTCTTTCAGACTAGATGAAAGAAAATGCCCAAAATCAACATTTAGGTGTTATTTTACTGCACTTTGTCTGTTGTAGATTTCTCCTAAAGTTAGCATTAGATATAGCCTCATTTGCATTTTAAAACATAACGTTAAAAAAATAAAATGTCAAAAATAAAATAAAATAATTGTCTTAATGTAATAATCAAATTGAACCTTTCATGGTGATATCTACTGGTTGTTAACTAGTTTTTCCCTATTCACAGTTTTGCAAGCTTTTACAATACATACACATTGAGCCAGAAATCTCCACTTCAGTAGCACTTACATACATAATACATAAGCTTCTTCCACTCATTATTTACACAGGCCTGAAATCATGTTTTATAGACTTGCAAATGTGGAGAGATAGTGACGTGGTGCAGTTAGGAGCAGTGCCCACGAAGTGGAACTGGCACCTCTCCAGGACCCAGTCCACACCCATATATCATTCACAACCTCTGTCCCCCCTTTTAAGTTGTCTTAAAGTCATCCCTATCCACCCAAGAACCAATATTTCATTCCTGCAGGAGGCCTGTAATTGATTGGCAAATTGTCCCTACTGTACCCTTTCTCCTGCCTAATTGATAATGGAAAATTACCCTGAACAGGATATGTGGATGTAGAGAATGGGTGGACTAAGTTTACTTAATGTAAGAAATGATGCGTCCCAGAAGGCTATTGTAGTTCCCCGACTTACCCCTTAATTAGTTTTTATTTAGAAATGACTTCTTTCAACCACTGCATCATTGATTAATGATGACTATGACTAACACCACCAGGTCTACAGAGGAAGGAAGGAATGTGGCACCTTGTTGGCCCTGAAGGCCAGATCCAAGCCTTGCTGACTGGACAGGTTGGCAGCAGGAGAGTTGTACGGGACGTTATAGTCTTCATCAGGATACACGGGCACTGACAGTCTGTTGTCAGACCATGTCTCCTTCATGGACTACAAAACAGGACAGGGACAAGATAAGATGAGACACACATAAAATGACATTCACATTAAAACTGTAATATGTTTTATTTGGCCCTGATAAATTTGTCACTGCAGTTGATCAGTTTATTGGACCATTACGCACTAATATCAAACCCACTGCTAAGAATCTGGGTATCATCTTCGACCAGCATATGACATTTGACCTTCATGTCACAAAACTTGTCCAGTCCTGTTTCCTGCAGCTACGAAATATAGCAAAAATCAAAAGTTTCCTGTCCTCCAGTGATCTGGAACAATTAATTCACACCTTCATTTTCTCCCGTCTAGATTACTGTAACTCTCTCTACACGTGCCTCAGTCAGGCTTCGTTAAACCGTTTACAGTTAGTACAAAATGCAGCCGCCAGACTTTTAACCAGAGCCAGCCGTCGGTCCCACATTACTCCTGTTCTTGCATCCCTTCATTGGCTTCCTGTAAAGTTCTGAATCAACTATAAGATCTTACTGATTACATATAAGGCACTTCATGACCTTGCTCCCAGTTACATTTCAGATCTCCTTGTTCCTCATTCCACTCCTCGGCCACTCCACTCCTCAAATCTCGGCCTTTTATCCGTTCCACGCTCTAACTGTAAAACTAAAGGTGACCTTGCCTTCGCTGTTTTAGCCCCAACATTGTGGAACAGTCTTCCCCATTCACTCAGATTCACTGAATCTGTGGACTGTTTTAAACGGCTGCTCAAAACCTCTACAGGCAAGCCTTTTTATAGATCTCCTTGTTTATTTTCTCATCTGTCGTCTCTCTTTTAATTTATTCTTTCCCTCTTGTTTTATCTTCCTTTGTTTTTACATGCTCTCTATGTTTGTGTTTTTGTGCGTTGTTATGTTTATTTATTTGTTGTTTGGAAAGCACTTTGGATCTCTGTGTCAAAAAGATGCTATATAAATAAAGTTTTACGTACTTAGTAACTTACTTACATCAAAAGACGACATTACATTCTCAGTTAAGAAAATCATACATCAACATTCATACACATTATAGAAAACAAAATCCATACATAGAAAATTATAAAAAGGTTTGCAGCAGCTAGTTCTAATATCTGTATTTAGCCCCTCTCCATACAACCTGAGGTGTGTTTGGTTACCTTGGGTGTGTCTAGGCTGTGGACACGGGCTGATGGGTTGTGATGTGCGTGGTGGAGGTTGTGGATGGTGAGGCAGCGGTTGTGGTGGTGACTGTTGGTGTTGTCGCTGCAGGAGCGGGTCATGGTCTTCTGCACCCGTCGCACCGTCAGCTGACTAAAACTCCTCTCCAGACAACGCTCACACCTCTGACGGCTGTGAGCGCAAGACTCCAGTCTACGCAGCCCTGGGACAGAAATAATTATTTTAAGTTATAAAAGAATATATAAGGAAATAATCATCAAAAGTAGCATTTCATGGAGAAAATGTGTGATTGCTCTGCATAGTGATGCTGATTAGTGTGGATTTGGGATGACTTCATAATCACTTAAAAACTCACTGGCCTCAATTTAATTGGCTGAATTAGAAATGGGAACTAACAGAGGCTTTAAACTGCTTCTCCATTGGGTATGTACATGTCATCATAACGAGCCTATACACACTTGCACAGTGTGCAATAGTAAGCATTTAATGGCATTCTTACTCATTCAACTCAATCATTTTTTTTGTTAATCTCAAATATTTGCAAATGTGATGAATTTTTAAATTAAAAAACTGCATAATATTCTGCATGTATTGGTTTATTAAAAACCCTTTTAAATTCCAGTTAAGCATGATCTGCATGAAGAATGATAAGAAGTGTGCAACTTCAAGTGTGTACTGGGCCAACCATGACCCTGAACCAGAATTTGTGACTGTGGAAAATTAATTATGAACAAATATTTCACCATCAATACTCCACTGGCTCTTATCCTTCCTCAGTTTGCTGTTCTCCACTGCCTGAGCGATAGCATCATTCAGCTGCTGCTCTGATACCTGGGACAGAGAAGATGGGAATGTCAGTGGTAATGTACAAATAAGGATGATGCTCAGTGTAACTTAGATATTTTCAAGTGACACGTAAAGGTCAAGAAAGGACAACATACCAGAGTATAAAAACAGTCTTTCTAATTTTATTTTATCTTAAAACCCAAGACGTAAAACGCTACTACCAATGCCGAGATTACCCAATATAGCATAGAATAGAAGACGACAGCAATATTGTTTCTATCAGTATGTTTGAGGATTGTTGGTTTTCATCTTTTCACTGGATTTGTTGACAAGAGGAAAAACATAGAATGATGCCAACCTTATCTTTTGAAAGGACAGATATGCTTTGAAAAGGAAGAAGGGAACATGTCAGCTGACAAGTGATAGACAGAAACCACAATGTTGTTTAAAGAAATAGCCTATACTTGAGTAGAAGCATATGAACAGAATAAATCAGGGCCTATAATCTGACCATGTGGTTTGCGGTGAAAGGCCAACAACACAGGGCTTGAGAGGCAGTTTAAGAAACTAGAAAACAGAAGCATTGTCAAAGGTAGCACAGAACAAATACAAACATCTGAAGAGATTCTTCTGAATCTTTGGTTGCTAAAAAGTTCTAATGAAAGAACTGCGTAGGGGGATTTGGACTCCTGACGTCAGAATTTTTAAAATTCCGGCCATGTGTTCTTTTTCTGGACAACAATAATCTGATCCTTCATTATTAAAGTTATGGAAAAAAAAGTCAAACCAAAATACAGGAGCATAGGAGCTTCAATCACAGTGGGACACATTGGACAAAATCATTAAATCATCATTCAAACGGTAAATTTGTATTAGCCATGAACGTGCCTTGGCTCAGTTGGACACTCCACAACTGTGGTCCAGACTGAAATACCAAATACTTTATCAACAGTCAACAATAAATACTACTGACTTTTCATCTTATGCCACCATCAGGTCAAACATTTAATTTATGACCAAATACCTGCAGATCTAACTACATTCCCATCAGCCTCAGCTGCACTTAGAATTAGTGTTTAGTGCTAGTTAGCAAATGTTAGCATGCTAACATGCTTATCTAAGAACTGAACATGGCAAAAATTACACCTGCTAAACAACAGTATGTTAGCATGGTCATTGAAAGCTAGCTATGCTAGCTGATGAAGCAGTCGTATGCCTAAATACAGCCTCAAAGAGACACTAGCAGGCTATAGACTTAGTCTTGTTCAACATTTATTTAGCCTACAAACGTTTTGCGCTACAACCATAAACCCCATGGATGGCCACTGAACAGCCCACTGGATTAAATTGCTGTTGCATAACTTTCTAAAGGACAGCTCAGCCAATTACTGCCTGTTGTTGAGGCCCTAATGATTCATTCATCATTCCCTTATACACAAGGGGCCGAAGCTGAGAACCTGAAAACCTTTCTCAGCATGTACTGGGAGAAAGGCCCAGAAACATTTTGAAGAAAACAGGTCACCAGTATCAAATAGCTAACGCATACGTTTGTGCAGCTATCCTTATTAGGACATTCCATTGACTTCATTCATTGTGGACAGCCTAACCTATCCCTTTACCCAGGGCTGGACTGGGACAAAACATGGCCCGGGCATTTTGAGCCGAGACCGGCCCACCAGGTATTGATGGAAAGACAATGAAGCCTATGAATGAAAACAAACTTTTGGCGGCCGCGGGTCTCTCCTCCTCCTGCCTCCCCTTCCCCTCATCCACCTGACGGCCACCTCAGCCATCATTACCTGCGGCTGCTTCTGATGCTGCTGCTGCTGAAGATGAAGGTCTGCCATAGCCACCAGCAAACATCTGTGTTATTTGAACACATTTGGCAGCATCTGCCTGAAGGGCTTGTCTCTTTTTAGCTCTAATTTTTTCCGCTTCTTGCTGTTCTCCATTTTCGTGATCTCCTCTCTCGCTGTATGATTGATTGATTGACAGCCGAGGCCCAAGAGGGAGGGGGCATCGGCCCTCGGCTGTAATTGGTCCAGCCCAGAATCAATCATGACTAATGGGCCGATCTAGCAGTTTTGTGTACCAATGACTAAAAAAGCCAGAACACCAAGCTCAAAGCCAGATGGATCCATGCCAACAGCATAGAGGCCCACAGTTGAACCCATGAGACAACATTACCACTGAGCCAGCAGAGGCTTTGCCCTGTAAGCCCATAAATCTGTGCTGGTTAAAGTAAACGAGGTGAAGGCGTTGCATACTTTGGGGTCAGGGTGTCGGCTGATGATGATGTGGACGGGACCTGGCGTGCACTGGCTCAAGACTGTGTAGACGTCATTCAGCGCCATGTTGTAAACCACAGTGTCGTTGATCTCCATGATCTCATCCCCACACCTAAAGTACAGAGGGAAAGTTCAGGAAAAGGTGTTGGAAAGAGTGTGTACAAGAGTTAACCAAAGGACCATGGATCTGTTCTAATAAAAGACTGTATTTTACAGTCAGGCACAAACACTGTATAAATCAAATTGTACACTATCGGAACTGGGTCAGCTGTCTACATACCATATTTCTGAAATATATTAATTGTATTAAATCCACAGTATAATTCACAGAAGTCATACAAAATCAAAAAGGTTCACTATGTCCTTAAAGCTGCAGTAGATAATTTCTATAAAAATATTTTTTGTCATATTTGCTGAAACTCTTATACAACTACTTATATCCTGACAGTAGTAAAGACAAATCAGGTTCATCTGGCTCCTTCTAGTGCTCCTAATGGTATTTGCATGAATCCACCACAGCTGAGCAAAAACAATCAGAGCCAAGACAGATAGCTGATTGTGGAGTTTCATTCCCAGGTCGTCAAATACAGACAGGACCCTGGGAATGAGATTATCTTCAAGCTTCCAACCCAATCCTCAGCTCCGATTGGTTGTTTTCGTTGAGGCCTGGTAGATTCTTGCAAATGCTATTAGGAGCACTAGAATGAGCCAGAGGAGCCTCATTTTTCACAGATTATCTGTTTCATGTACTACTGTCAGGACACAGTGAAAGTTTGAACAAATATGATGATTTTTTTTTTTTAATTAAAATTACCTTTTGCAGCTTTAAGATGGACATTAGTCTTTAGTTTAGTTCAGTCTCTGAACACACAAGGAGAAGTAGGCTGTGTATGAGAATAACTTAAATTACTGAACATAACATTGTCACATATAACCTGTTTTAACCTCACATAATATTACAAGGATTACATGGTGTACCTAACTCCAAGTGTACCTTATATTTTTAATAATATCCTAATTAGGATAGCTGCACAAATACTCCTTCACATAAACTTTGTTTAATTTTTTACTGTAGTTACATTTTATTACAGTAGGTATTTTAGTACTCTTTCCAACTCTCTATTAAGGTTATTATAGTTAACTGAAACTAAACTTTTAGAGTAAAATTAGGTGTAAAAAACATTTTTATTTAAATGAAATTACAGTAAAAACTAGAATTTGGAAAAAAATTCTAAGACTAAAATAAAGATATATAGGAAATGTCTCTAGTTCTGGTCTTTGAAAACACAACAACAAAAATAATTTGTGCTTATGTTTACTGACTCTGGGATGTCTACATGACTGAGTCAGTGTGTTTGTATTGTAATACCTGTTCTGAACTTCTTAAATATTATATTTATTATAATATAATAAAAACAAATTAAAACACTGAAACTAGTAAAAACTAAACTGAAACCAAATATTTTAAACAATAAAAACTCAACTAAAATGAGCAAACTCACTCTGGAAACTAATTTAAACTAATTTTTATTAAAAAAAAAAAAAAAATAAGGAGTAGTTTCTCCTTACCGGAGTCTACCATCCATGTGTGCTACGGATCCAGGAGAAAGGGTGTGGATGTAGATCCCGGGGCATCCGTCACCAGATGGAACACAGCACAGTCCGATACCCAGACCAACACCAGCCTCTGGGAAATTACACATCCATAAACCTTTATTGTGATACTTTATTTATATGATTTATAATGATATATCATTAAAGGTTTAGAAGATATTTAGCCTTTACACCCCAACCCTACACAGTAAAGCCAAAGCAAATTATCTTTCAGATCAGCAGCTAACAAATGCTTTAATTGTTGATTTATCAATCAATAGTCAACATAAAAGATAATACCGAATGACCATCACAAGTTACCAGAGCATCAATCAGTTTTACACATACATGTCAGTTTACTAGTCGTGGGGACTTGGCTCGGAAACTATGCATTTAAAATTTAAAACCTGCATTGCAAACTAGTGTGGAACGTATAACATAAAGATGCCATTTTTTTGCATTATGGGAAATGTAGGTTCAAGCTTTTAGCTTTTGAGTTTTCTTGTTGTTTCTTTCTTATTCTATTTCATAATTGCAATCAACTTTTCCACTTTTGGTATTTTAAATACCAAAAAGATTTCAACTGTCCTCGGAGGCTGACCTTTCTGCAGGATGATCTCCATCATGATGCGGTCTCTGGGTTTAGCAGGCTGACCCGGGATGCTCAGTGTGTTACTGCAGTTGTTGTTCAGGTAGTTGTAGTCTCCCATGTCAGCACTGATCCTGGCCATGCCTGTAGTTGAGCTGAGAGAGCGTGACCTGCACAGCTGAGCTATCTGAGCCTGACCGCACAGAGCCCCCACACGCAGGCTTGTCCTCACCACCAGGGTCAGCAGGCCCTTTTTGATTAGCTGCACAAAGACATTTCATATTTCAAATCAATGCTAAATGCAAATGCTGGCTAAAGTACGTCGATACCAATCTGGTTTCTCCTACAGTACTGTCAGGACTTCAACTCAAGAGTCCAAAGTTTGAGTTCCGTCTGTGGTTACGGTTAGGCAACAAAAGCACAATCCCAGAAATGTTTTAGTCGATCCAGTACCAGTGAATTTCCATGATGCTTGATATCATGGTAAAAATATCCAGATTTTGCCCCTGATACCCATTTAATATGTTCTAATACTGAGTCCTGATCAATACTTGTATTTTTCTTGATAATACAGGTGAATACCTCACACACAGCACAGCAGAGTGCTAGTTGACGATGACTGCGCTGTGCACAAAAGCTTTACCTGAACAGCTGCACTTGTTGGTGTTTTCATGTTCTTCTTCCTGTGGCATTTAACAGGCGACTAGAATACTTGTAGGTGTACAGAATATAATTGTATTCCAACGATACTGTATCAGTTCTTGTGACATCCCTATGAAAGACCTTGTTACACACAAAGCCCTCCATAACCAGGCTCCTTCCTACCTCACTGACCTGCTCCATCGCCACAATCCATCCCGCAGCCTCCGCTCATCTGAAGCAAACCTCCTGACTCCTCCACCCCCGGACCAAGCATCGAACCTGGGGCGACAGAGCGTTCTCTGTAGCTGCCCCCTCCCTCTGGAACTCTCTCCCCAAACCCATCCGTGACTGTACCGACCTTCCAACATTCAAATCACTGACAAAAACTCACCTTTTTAAAATTGCTTTTAATGTTTAGCTAAGTCTGATGTGTTTTTAATGTTTTACTATTTGATGTTGTTTGGCTGCTTTTATGTTTGTTTGTTTTTTATGTAAAGTGTCTTTGAGTATTTAGAAAAGCGCTTATAAATAAAATGTATTATTATTATTATTATTGTGTTTCAAGTCATTGTCGACTATTTTTGCATTAAAACCAAACCAGAATCTTTCCCTAACCTTAACAACGTGCTTTGAGTGCAAACATAACCACAGAAATGTTTAATAAGGCTATAGTCACTGCAAGTGGATATTGTACTTGGTAAAAGGACTGTACTTACATAGTGCCTTTCTAGTCTTCCGATCCCTCAAAATGCTTTACACTACATGTCAACATTCACCAACCCATTTTTACACTGATGGCAGAAGCTGCCATGCAAGGTGTCAAATGCTCATCAGGAACAGGAACTAATGCTCATTTGCACTGACACACTTATGGCACAGCCTTCGGGACCAGTTTGGGGTTGTCCAAGGACTGAAGTGATCTGACCATCAATCTTCTGATTAGTGGGTTTACTGATCTACTGATTTTCCAACTTGCCAGACACATTAACTAACAACATTTTCTCATGGAAGAAGTGGAAGACTCTTCCAGTAAGTCAGTCAGTGGAGCCAGGTTCTTTTTTCACATTTTTAAATGGATACATCTGACTCAGCAGGTCACGGTTGTGTCACTACCCTGAACTGAGAGGAATGCTGTTAGGATGAGAATGTAGTTGCCTTACTTTGAACTTGTGCAGGGCCTCATCATGAGTCAGACCATGTAGAGACTCTCCATTCAGCTCCAGGATCTCATCACCTATGCAAACACGCAAACACACAAACACGAGTTCTGAAGGCTGTGCATCTGCTCTGTGACGCCTATAAATCTGATATAGATAAGACTGAGCTTTTTAACACATTTAAATTCTTCATGACTTCATGAACACATCCTTTCTGATGTAAAGTCAGGTTACGTCGTGTAAAGAGCGACAAAGAAAAAAAAATAAAGTCTGTCAGTTTTCAGAAAAGATCAGAGAGACGCAAAATTAAAAGCCTTTATCAATTGGAAGTAGGTGTCTTACAGTAATTAGTAAAAGAGAACATTAGAGTGACATTTATGGAAAACAGACTGCTATTAATTACATTACTCAAACACTTAAGGTAGGGTCATTCAGGAGGAAAATGATTGTTGAGACTCATTCCCAAGTTGTCAAATACCAACCACACTGTTTGTTTCCCATTTACCATAAGCCAAAGCGTCCGTATTTGACAACCTGGGATTGAGACTTAACAGTTATGTTTCTCCAGAATGACAGACTCATGTACAGCATGTTGTCTCTTACCTTCCTGCAGCCGTCCATCAGCAGCTGCTGCCCCTCCAGGGAAAATGGTCTTGACGTAGATCCCCATTGGTCCATACATGCTATCCTTCCCTCCCACTATACTAAAGCCCAGACCCTGAGGAAAGCAGCAGAAATATTATTAATAATAGTAGACACTGATTAATGTCTTTAAACAACAATATAATCCCAATTGGAATGTAATTTATATAGATAGAAGAAGTAAACTAAGACTAGAATACTATTGAGTGTCAAAGCTTTTGGCCTGGGACAAAGTAGGTGAGTATAGCAGATTTAATTGATTTTCATTATGTAATGCTTGTCTTTAAATGCTTAATTGGCCCCTCAGCCTCAGCAAATACATAATGAAACTGCAGAACTGCAGCAGATCCACCAGAGACACTTCAAGTGGCAATTGCAAAGTTCCATTCTATAAAACATATTTTCCAGTCCTGGAATTCACTACCTGATCACTTGACATTTGCTGCTAACTTCACCACATTTAAGAGAGATATCAAATCTTGGTTAATTCACCAACAAACCTGTACTTGTATAGTTTTAAATGTAATGTATTTAATTCTGAGCTTTATGTATCTTTTGTATACTGTTTACTCTTTTTATACCTTACTGTCTTAACCTCTTATTTTCTTCCCTGCCACGGACGGGTGTTGCAAATCAACATCGGCTATAAATGTCTATGTTTACTGTATCTGTCCCTAAACCATTAATTCGATATTTAAGTTGTTCAGACTGACACTGAGCAAACTCGCTGATGAAGACAGTGAGATGCAGTCGAAAAAGCTAGCAAGAGGACCTTAGACACCGTCATCCATGTACTTCCCAATCTCAGTTTAGTATATATATATATATATATATATATATATGTATAGGATTATCAATATGGAATTCTCTGCCTTTCAATTTTTTGAATTTGTCGTTACAGCAGTTCAGAGCCCACATATCACTTCTTCTGACTAACCACATCTACATCTGTCTCTTCTAGTGTTCCTAATGGTATTTGCAAGAATCCACTGGGCCTGAATGAAAACAACCAATCAGAGCCAAGAAAGATAGTTTGCCATTCTCAGGTTGTCAAATATTGATTGTTTGGGTTGGTGGCTTGCTTAATTGTTGAAGAATAAGACTCAACAATGACTACTCTGTCTTGGGTCTGATTAGTTGTTTTGCCAGAGGAACCTGATTATTTCACAGATTATCTGTCTCATGTTGTACTGTCAGGATATAGTGAACCTTTCAGAAAACAAGCTTTAATGCAGAGATAGTATGGCAACAGTTAATAGTTTATATATTGTGCTATTGTGTTACAGTTATTATGGTCTGCTGAGTATAGTGGTGAGTGAAGAGCAAGTTTTGCTGATACTAGAAAGAACTCTGATCATTTTGTTGTTTTTGGTGTGTGGTTCCTACCTTGCCCTGGCCCTTCATCAGCACAATGTTACAGATTATGAAGGCTTGCACGTTGCTGCTCGAGTGTACCAGCTGGGCAGAGCTGAGGGAACGGGAGGGACGGTGCACAGGCTGGAGAGAAGCAGACACAGAACACACACACACACACACACACACACACACACACACACACACACACACACAAGGAAGGGAATAATTTCACCATTTAATTATTTCCTTTACTACCAGCATTTTGTTGTTGATATGATCAAACTACTAGCAGCAATATGTCTGCACTGTTTGCAGTGTGGTCATTAGATTAAATACAAATGTATTTAACAAGCAATCAATAAAACTAAAATCATAGTATCTCTTACAACTAGATTTTTACTCTTAAAGAGAGAGTAGAAAATAAAGCAGGACCCACCTCAAGGGCCTGATCATGTTAATGTATTGTGCTCTAGTGATGTACATTGTGATCTGTAATGTATTATGTTTATGTCATCAGATAAATCAAATACTTGTGAGGTGGTGTGAGGAAACTCCAGCTGCTGGGACAGAGACTTCCTGTTTCCATATAAACCACTATTCCCATGAGGATGACCTGTGTACAGCTCTGGAGTCTTCATTATGATGCTGTCCAGATCCCCAATCCAGTAAGGATGAACACCTGGTTACACACACAGTATCATCAGAAAGTGAACATCAGGTTGAATTGAAATCAAGTTTGTGGATACAGTGACCTACAAAACAGATATGGCAGCAAAATCAGCTATACTACCCTACAAAGCAAAGGTGCAGGAACAACTTATTTGGACAAAATGAGTTAAAATCAGTGTCAGATATTTTTGTAACTCAGTTTTACCATATGATCAGTGATAACATTGATACTAATTGGTACATATTGTTCTATTTCATGTCAAAATCGCTGCTGTGAAAAAGGTCTATTATCCAAACACAGACTGCAGTATCTGCTTTTATATGACATCTAATGTTTTTTCCTAGAAAGGCATAAACTAGTAGCCTTAAAACTTTAGACCCTCTTGCTGCCTGTAATGTGTAATACTGTAGCCGTGATATAGTTAGTTTACTTAATACTTAAATTAAGCTTATGTTGAGTCTACATTAGTTGTGTTTTGACTCAGTTCTGTGGTGCATGTTTATATCATTTTACTCAAGGAATTGTTATTAATTTATGATATTAATATAACACTACAAAAAACTGTATCATATTGTCAACAGATCCTCCAAAATCACAGGCTCTGCCTTCAGAGTTATCACTGTGCTAATCGCTGCAGAATCAAAAGGGCAAGTGCAATTATATCTGACCTATATATACTGACTACTCACTATCTGCTACAACCTCTGCCCCTGGGAGGCACTACAGGTCCTTGTCCACCAAAATATCAATCAAGTCTTTTTCCTGCTGCAATAAGGACTCGTATTAGACACCTAATTCTAGCTTCTTGCATTGTGATATATAGCTCTTCATTGTACACCTAGGAATGATGATGAATTAGTCTGGCCCATACACTCAACTCAAATATAGCAATACAGCAATATAGCTGGCCCTTCTGTGTCGGACCAGACAAGTTTCAGCACTCTTGTTTGTTGTTTGGCAGTGGTTTACAAATGTGTGTTCCAGCAAAGTGTTTACTGAGTACATTTATTCATTTAGAGGAATGAACAGAGGAGGGGAGTGAAGGAAGGAGAAGAGGAAGAGAGATTGCCAAATATGTCAAGTGTGTGTATTAATGAAGTGGCTTGGTTAAGGTTTAGTTGAAACTGGAACCAGTGTGGAAACTGGGCTAGATACATTTTGCTATGTGGCACTGTGTGCGCTGTGTTTTTGTCCAGGTTGTACTGAAAACAAATTCAACAGATTCTGGTTGCTTATCCGTTAAAAGTGAAGTATTGGATTGGATGAAAATATCGCTGCGTGTATATGTCTTAGTCAACTAGCTGTTGTACTGTGTATCATTACACATATACAGTTCCATCTATACAGTCTGTTCAGTTACATCTCACATCGGTGGAACTGTGAGCGCAGCACTTTTCACAATTAGGACCACATTTCCTATAAGCGGTGTGGCTTCCCGGTGCTAAAAGGATATTACTCCCTGGCCTCACACCTCCCTGAAGACAATAAACATATTAGAAACAATTTTCTCATCACCCTCTCTCTCTCTCTCTCTCTCTCTCCATTCATCGTTTGTCATTACTACACACTCTAAAAGCTTTAGCTGTCCTCCTCCTGTTCATACCACTTTCTGCCCAAATCTGACCGGTTTGCATGCAGAGTGAAAGTCATTAGAATGAATAGTTCTCACTCCTCCTGGTGGATGGTAGCTGACAGGTAATGTTACTACTGAGTGATAACTGTATGATACATACTGGTTGAATTGGAGCGTGTCCTATTGTTGACCACCTGTCCTGGTGGGCTCTGCTTGGTCTTCTCTGTTTCCCAGCATCGCTCCTCATTCACCTCTGGGATGGGTAACTACACACACACACACACACACACACACGCACACATTAGGACACACATTAGGACACACATTTATGTCAAAAGGGAAAGAAAGACTTTCCCTCCAAAAAATAGTTGTACATATAATTACAATATTATGTACAATAGTATATATAATTGTATGTATAATAGACTGCAGTTTTGACAAAAGACTAGTTCACCTTGAGGTGGTTGTTGTTGGCCAGAAGTTCTTCGTCTGTGTATCCAGGCAATGATAGAGGATCAGATGGGGAAATGAAAGCCGGGTGCTGTGGGCTTGTAGTTAGACTGTGCGAAGGGAGAGTGTCTTCACATGTGGAACCATCCTAAAGAACATAAAACACAAGTTGCAAAGACAAAAACACTTTAGCTGGTGGCCAACATGAGGCACGCCAATGGCAGAATGTACCTTGGAAGTTCACTTCAGCCTTACTTCCTTTATTAATTCACATGGCCCTCTGTACTATTCTTGTTTGTACAATACAAAGCAATACATCACACTAATTATTCAACAGATTACTATTGTGGTTCTAAATTATGCTTATCAGGACATTTAACTGCACTGAGCAGCTAGTGGGTACGACAAGGTGAGTGCTAATGGATAATGCATTATAAACATTGTAGTACCAGTATAGTAAAGTCTAGTATATAAAGTACTTATAGTATATTATAGTATATTATAGTATAGTATAGTATAGTATAGTATATTATAGCATAGTATAGTATAGTATTGTATGGTACAGTACAGTACAGTACAGTACAGTATAGTACAGTATAGTAGAGTCAAAGAAAGTATAGTATAATATACAGTAGTATATTCTTATTTATATCAGTGTTTTATAATATAATATTAGTAGTAGTATAGCATAGTATAGTATAGTGAAGTATAGCATAGCATAGCATAGCATAGCATAGCGCAGTGTAGTGTAGTAGGCTAGTATAGTAGAGTATAGTAGGCCATAGCATGATACATTGATCAGCCATAACATTGTGTGCACCTGGGAACCCTGGTGGTCAGAATGTTCTGCAGCCCCATACCAACAGACTGCTCTGCACTGTGTGTTCTGACCCCTTTCTATCAGAACCAGCATTAACTGTTTCTGCAGTTTGAGCTACTGTAGCTCGTCTGTAGCCTTCACTCCCCACGTGCATCAGTGAGCCTTCCTTGAACCACTTTTGATAGGTACTGACCTCTGCAGACCAGGAACACCCCACGAGAGCTGCAGGTTTGGAGATGCTCTGACCCAGTCGTCTAGCCATCACAATGTGGCCCTTGTCAAAGTCGCTCAAATCCTCACGCTGCCCATTTTTCCTGCTTCTAACATCAACTTTGAGGACAAAATGTTCACTTGCTGCCTGATATATCCCACCCACTGACAGGAGCCATGATAACCAGATAATGAGTGATATTCACTTCACCTGTCAGTGCTCACAATGTTATGGCTGATCGGTGTATATTGTAGAACATAGCATAGTATAGCAGAGTAGAGTATAGCATAGCATTGTATAGTATAGCAGAGTATAGCATAGCATTGTATAGTATAGTATAGTAGAGTATAGTAGAGTATAGCATAGCATAGCATAGCGCAGTGTAGTGTAGTAGGCTATGGCATAATATAGTAGAGTAGAGTAGAATATAGTATAGTATATATAGTATAAGAAGTATAGTAAAGGAGAGAGGAGTAGTAGAGTACAGTCTAATGTCCAGTAGTATAGTTTGTCATATTCTAGTATTATGGATCGGATTGAAATTATTATTTAACTGTTTAACAAGACACGATGAAACTCCTGAAATAGGGCTGTCACAATATCAGATTTTCACTACACAACTGACCAAAATAATGAAAAACATCCAAATTGTGTAGGTGGAGATAGAGTCTCTATAACTGTACAAAAGCATACAAAAAGAACAATTACACTGAGTGTGAACCACAAAGAGGCAACAGATTATTTAAACAATATTATCGTGTGTGTTATTATCATGATATCAATATGTCGTTTTTTAAAATATAACGTTATCGTCAATACACCCTAACCTTGAAATAGGAAACAAATTAAGAGTTAAATTCATAAATAGTAAACACAGGGTTAGATATAAACAGGGTTTTGACGCAGATTTATTTTCCGTAACTGACATATTAAGTAAATTCTCACAATTTAAAACTCCATGTATCCCTGGCAGCATGGTCTATAACTCTATATATGTATTATTATGAACTAGTCTTGGGAACCATGGGAATGGAGGCATTTCATTGCTGAAGGCAGCCACCATGAAAAAAAAATCAAACAGAGACTGTGTTGAAAACAGAATCAGCTGAGCCCAGACGTCACATGTTAGACATTCTTTCCTACTGCTCTTTTTCTCCATCTCTACTTCATTCTGCTGTTCAGGTTTCCACAGCCTCTTAAAAGTGACTCAAATAGACTTGGCAGGATGACAGGGTGTCGCACTGCAGAGCAAGAAAGCGACCACAGCAACAAAAATACTAAAACCTGAAAAAAACCCTCATATACGGCCTCTGTGGCTGCTGTGGAGCAATGAAAACACACCCTGCTGGGTTCAGTATTGACACCTCTGCTCTGAATGACACATCCATACATACAGCATGGTTAATAAGACTCATGATTAAAGCTATTACCTAACTACATTTGTTTTTTTACAATAACATTTCAAATTTGTAAGATTTTACCTATATCTGACGCAAAATTACATCACATTTCCTTGAATTTCCATTATTAGCTGAAGAGATTCCCAAATTGTGCTTTGTTCCTGCTTTGTTAATGATCTCAGAATGTATCAAATCCCCAGTCTGTCTCTGTCTCGACTTTTTCTAGACTCCAGGTTGTACTGGAAATTCCTTGAGCACCGTGAGGCCTACAATATATTATATAATCATCAAATTTTCTTCTCACATTACTCTCTTTTGTTGACCAAATTCAAATTCTTTACATTCCTTCATGTGTGTTGCCATTTCTGACTGGATTCCAAAGAGCCTTGTGTTTAAGTGTGTGTGGGAAGACTGGGAATGTGATTGCAGCATGAGAAAAATGCCATGCCCACACAGACAGTGTTAGTGCAGAGAGGGGACTGCAAATGTATTGTCATTTTTATCCCATCCACAAACCCTGGATGGTTTGTTTAGCTATGTAGGGAATGTATCAGGTTTGTTTATCTATATAACTATATGTAAGTGCTGTAAGTGATATTTTTGAAAAAATAAATAAATAAATAAAATAAGTGACACTGATACAGTGTTCAGTCAGTAACATGGGTCTCCCAGTTCCTCCTTTCTGCAGTAAACAGAGAATACATTTTCTGGTATCCTGTTCCCACTTTATCCAATCAGTAGAGAGAACTCCACAAAGAGGCGGGCCTCAAGGCCAGACAGCAGAATAACATGCATTAATGGGACATGATTGTGTGCAGAAAGAGAGGGAGAGGATGAGAGGAGCTCAGTGCATCATGGGAAATCCCCCGATAGTCTAGGCCTATAGCAGCATAACTAAGGGATGGTTCAGGACTCACCTGATCCAGCCCTAACTATAAGCTTTATCAAAGAGGAATGTCTTAAGCCTACTCTTAAATGTGGAGAGGGTGTCTGCCTCCAGAACCACAACTGGAAGCTGGTTCCACAGGAGAGGAGCTTGGTAACTGAAGGCTCTGGCTCCTGTTCTACTTTTAGAGACTATAGGAACCACAAGTAGCCCAGCATTCAGAGAATGTAGTGTTCTAGAGGGGTAATAGGGTACTATGAGCTCTTTAAGATATGAAGGGGTCTGACCATGAAGAGCTTTATAGGTGAGGAGGAGGATTTTAAATTCTATTCTACATTTTACAGGGAGCAAGTGCAGAGGAGCTAGTACAGGAGAGATGTGATCTCTTTTTCTAGTTCCTGTCAGTACTCGTGCTGCAGCGTTCTGAATTAATTGGAGCGTCACAATGGACTTATTTGGGCAACCTGATAATAAGGAATTGCAGTAATCCAGCCTAGAAGTAACAAATGCATGGATTAGTGTTTATGCATCCATCTGTGACAGGGTGTGTCTAATTTTTGTAATGTTACATAAATGAAAAAAGACAGTCCTGGAGGCTTGCTTTATTTGGGAATTAAAGGACATATCCTGATCGAAGATAACTCCAAGATTCCTGACAGTGGTGCTGGAGGCCAAGTACAAAGAATAAATTTTTTTTTCTGAGTTTAGCATCAGAAAATTGCAGCTCATCTAGGTTTTTATGTCCTTAAGACATGTTTGTAACTTAGATAACTGATTAATTTCATCGGGCTTGATCGACAGATATAATTGGGTATCATCTTCATAACAGTGAAAGTTAGTTAATTAGTGATTCCTAATAATGTTGCCTAAGAGAAGCATATATAAAGTGAATAGAATTGGTCCAAGCACAGAACCCTGTGGAACTCCATGACTAACTTTAGTATTGGAGGATTCATCGTTAACGTGTACAAACTGAGAATGATCTGATAAATATGACTAAAACCAGCTTAGTGCGGTTTCTTTAATGCCAATTTGATGCTCAAGTCTATGTAATAGAATAATATATATATAATAGAATATTATGGGTGTCAAATGTGGCACTAAGATCTAATAATACAAGTAAGAAACAGGTCCATTGTCAGAAGCAATTAAAAGGTTGTTATTAACTTTAACCAGAGCTGTCTCTGTGCTATCAAATAAGCTGTTGCTATGTAGAAAGTCACTTTCAACTGCTTGGTGACTACTTTCTTCTCCTTTAGAGAGGAAGGGGAGGTTATGAGGTTAAAGAGGCTGCACTATGATGTAGTGAAGTTCAAAATACATTAACAATATGTAAAACATCTATGTGATTATCTTACATAATGTATCAATAACCAACATATAGAAATACAGAGATGCATACAAGTATGTAAGCTTTATTGGACTAATTCTTTAAGCTTTAGGAAAAGTGGAACAAATGTCACACTATAGAGTCCATTACATGTGTCAGCTGCCATTACCTCACTGTAGGCTTTAATGTGACTGCTCCTCATTCCCTCCCCCGCCATCCAAGTGCTGCCGTTTAGAAACTGTCCGTTAAAGGGTGCCAGCTTGTCTGGGCTCAGGAAGCTGCAGCCTCTGGAGAAAAAACACACAGCCGAAAACCAGTAATGTCCAAAAATCATCAAGCACAAAACCAACCACCATTCACAGAATTATTCTCAGAGGGATTCAGAAGTCCCTCTTCATACCAAAACTCAAGTCAAATTTATGTGTTTTACACTTAATATGGTAGAACACTAGAACGGATATTATTAAAGGCTTTTTGACTGAGTTAACGGATTAAAGGTGTCCTGTGGACTTTTTAACCATTAGTGTCGCTATTGAGCAATGTTTTTACTTGTGGGTGTTGCTATCACTTTTCAATATTCTCTAAATCCAAAAGACTCTACTCAGTTATTGAAGTAAGATCACAGTTGACTGACACTAACAATAGTAAGACTTGTTGTCTTTTTGTTGTGGAATATTTGATGTGCAACGTTTGGTTCTCTTTATATTTATCAAAAAATAATGCATCCAGAGGCTTTGGATTATTAGGGCCAGAGCAGCGACCACTGCGAGGACCCTATTGTCTGTGAAGGAATAATTTTTATTTTTCTCAGAAAAGAATCACATTTTTATAAATGCATGTCAGTGGTGGCGAAATATACATTTCATAGGGGTCTCATATATAGGTGTGGCAAAATGTCTCAACAGTGCACCCTAAAGAGCAGCCCCAGAGGCACATTTTACCGATGTATGAAAATTTGTAGGCACATGTATCACGTCCTGACTTATAGTATATGCTAAACCCAATCAGGGAGTCGAACATTTTGAATTAGTTTTTGCCACTTCCACATACTGTATTTGAAAAAACTCCTCCTAAGAAAGTGATGGTATCTGCCTCAAATTTGGTCAGTACACTCTAAAGACGGTCACGATGAAAAGTTTTCAAAATCTTGTGGTTTCATCAAACCATGTGTCTTTGATGTGGCGTCAAAAATTTACATTTTGCCATGAAACAGGAACCCCTAACCCTAATTTGAGTCATCCAACTTCACGTTTAATAAGAGCCCTGGCCTGAACACATCTACATGCCCATAGTCAGTCATAGTCATAATGCCACCTACTTGTATGCCAGTTGTCATCTAAGTGAAATTTACTCTACTGTTGTCTACTCATGATGTGCTGGCATGTAACATGACCACATCACACTCTGACGCATGTGACAGGTGAAGTGAATAACACTCATTATCTGGTTATCATGGCTCCTGTCAGAGGGTGGGATATATCAGGCAGCAAGTGAACATTTTGTCCTCAAAGTTGATGTGTTAGAAGCAGGAAAATGGGCAGCCTCACGCTGCCCATTTTTTTGCCCCGACTTTGACAAGGGCCAAATTGCGATGGCTAGACGACTGGGTCAGAGCATCTCCAAACCTGCAGCTCTTGTGGGGTGTTCCTGGCCTGCAGAGGTCAGTACCTATCAAAAGTGGTCCAAGGAAGGCTCACGGATGCACATGGGGAGCGAAGGCTGGCCCATGTGGTCTGATCCAACAGACGAGCTACTGTAGCTCAAACTGCTAAAACAGTTAATGCTGGTTCTGATAGAAAGGGGTCAGAACACACAGTGCATCACAGTTTGTTGGTATGGGGCTGCAGAACATTCTGACCACTGATCAGTGTATTATGCTATAGCCTAATATACTCTCCTATATGATGTGCTATGCTATACTTTACTATACTATGCTATACTACTCTATTATATTATAAAACACTAATATAAATAAGAATATACTACTGTATATTATACTATACTTTCTTCGACTCTACTATACTATACTATACTATACTGTACTGTACTGTACTGTACTATACTATAATATACTATAAGTACAGAGGGCCATGTGAATTAATAAAGGAAGTAAGGCTGAAGTGACCTTCCAAGGTACATTCTGCCATTGGCGTGCCTCATGTTGGCCACCAGCTAAAGTGTTTTTGTCTCTGCAACTTGTGTTTTATGTACTTTAGGATGTTTCCACATGTTGTGTGGTGATAGTTGATGATAGTTGTAGGTGTAGTTCATCACACTATAAACTTATTTGAATGTTATTTAGTTTACATTAAAATACAGACTTCAGATCCAGTATTCTGCACCCCTGAAGTAACTTAAGTACAGGTAACTTGCATAATGTCCTGACGTAACTACAGATATCCTACAGATTAAGTGCTAACACCAGGGGGAGGGGGGTCTATACCAGCATTATAGAATTAATCAAGGTTTTCTCTCCTAGTAATGTTTGATGATTTTCTTTTGCTGCCATTGAGCCTGATAAGAAGAGTGTAGTAGCTTTCACCATTTTTCAGGCACTTAAGAGCTGTGGTGCTCTTTTATTACCTGTGTAGGTTCCTTCTATTCCTTCCTGGCTCCCCATTAGTGTCTTTGTCCTCTGTCTGGACGCTGTTATCAGCCATTTGTGGTCCGCACACCTCCTCAGTGGTCCCTGTGGCCACACACATCCTCCAGATACTACTCTCCTATAACGACACACACATACATACACACAGTGAACAAGTATAAGGGGACCTTTATACTGGGTGGTAGAAAGCAAGCTTTATGAGGATATCAACCATCTGGCTGAGCGCGGTGACAGCTGAGGTGAAAGAAAACAGCAGTAAGGTTTTATAGGGGCAGGAACTAGGCCATGGTGTTATGAGGCAAAGTCATGTATGTTGGAATTGCTCTTATGTTACCAGTTGATTAAACACAAGATTAAATTATATAATACAGACAAAATGGCTCTTTACTGAGGTAAAGAAATCCAATAATTGATGACCATGAATAATATTTTTAATGTGTTCTTGAAATTTCTCTCATAGTGACAACATTGCTTTACTCACAAAGACTTCATTCACAAACCTCTGTTTGACTAAAGGATTTAGGATACGCTGTGATATTGTTTCTGTCTGGTAGGTGATTAAGAGTGATTGATGTTCAACAGGAACGCATGAATTAGCCCCAGAGGAAAAACACGGCTCCATTAAATTACTGTTGAGATCAGCTTCGATCAGGGTTGTTTAGCAGCCCAGGCTTGAGTCCATGAACAGCTGGTCTACACTATGATTAGCATGCAGTCTCTGTTGCTGATGGTTAGGATTGTAGTAGTAGAGTAGCTTTTCTCAGTAACTTCTGACTCAGCACATTTCTTGTTATGTGTTATTGGATACTTTTTAGCCAACAAAGCATATAAAGTATCAGGCAGCGTGGCTGTAGGGACAGCAGTGTTGATCAGTCCATCACTTTGGTCCAGACTGAAATATCTCAACAACTGTTTAGTTCAAACATTCACTTTTCCCTCAAGATGAACTTTAAAAACATCAGGTCAAATTTCACATCAGCCTCAGTTGTGTTTTATGCTAATTAGCAAATGTTAGCACGCTAACATGCTAAGCTAAGATGGTGACTATGGTAAAAAAAATGACCTGATAAAAATCAACATGTCAACTATGTCATTGTGAGAACTGTTGTCATAGAGTTGCTAATGTGGCTGTACACTCAGACTAGACTGTGTTTTCAAGTAAGAGCAAGGCTCTTCAATTTATTTCTGCTGTGAAGTTGGGAATTTTAATATAGCCCTTTGGAGACTGACTCGCTGCTGGAGCCAGCCTCAAGAGGACGTAAGAGGAACTGCAGTTTTTGTTACTACTGTAGGCTTCATTCACAGCCACGGAGTTTGTCACTTGGCTTCAGCCTCCCCTTCCAAGTGTGGCAGGTGCCACCCCTAAAAATGCCTGGCCACCCCAGTTTGGTGTCATATTTAACACATTATGATGAATAGATTAGTTTTAATAAAATAAAAAGAGAAATTAATTTAATGATCACATTTTAGACTCACTGACAGGGTTAAGTTCAATGAAAATAGACATGTATTTGGAAAAATGTCTGAAGATTTAGAAAGTAAAGAGTGTATTGATTTGTATTGTCACCTTTAGATATTTCTATTCATTGCTTTACTGACATGGCACAATGTTTTTTTAGTTCAAATCTCTTAATTTGTTCATTTATTTGTCTAGATCTACCCCTAGAACCATGCTAACTTAACTCATAACAGAGAGTACCAATAAAATATGCTCACATTATTACAGAGCAATCATCATATAATATTAGGCTACATTAACTTAAATTATGACCATGCCAGGCATTTCCAGCATCAACAGGGCTACTAAAACCAACCTTGTGTGTGTGAACTGCAAGCTGAACCCTCCCTCTCTTTCTCTGCTGACACACAGTGTCCACACAGGTGTGTTTTCATCTCAGTGCGCAGACTTAACAGCGCTGTTGGAAACTGAAAGTTAAACTTAAGTTCTGTCTTATTTCGTTGCGTTCCTTTTTGATGGTTCTGTAAAAAAGTGTTTCAAATTTGTTGAAAACTTACAATTTACTGGAAACATAACTAGAGATGCTCATTTGTCCAGAGCTCCCTGTTTACAATTGACCAGAAAACCATGATGCAGTGAGAGTCTAACCTGTGAGCACAACCACAGTCAGTGGTCACTGTATAGTATCTATCACTCTTTATGGAAGGTGAGTGATGAGTGAGCAGTCTAACCGTATTTGACTAATGGAATGAGGCCGAGCTGTAGAAACAGAAACAGCACAACAAACCCTGTCTTTGTCTGAATGTTTGACATTCAGGCCAGCCACAGCTCTGTCTACTAACCCACCCACACAGGGCATGTGATTATCATTACATTTAGACAGCATTCCCCAGAGTCTATAGAGCACAGTGGTAGTACGTTATGGTGAGGCTTAGTATATACCAATAATATACACTAATTTCTATATATTATTTTGTCAAGAACAAAAACAGTTTATTGATGGTTAAGTTATAAATCTGACCGTAGTGGATGCTTCAGTTGGTCATTTGACAGGAAGTAATCACCCTGTACTGCTGCAGGAGCTATGTGTGTTGAGCACGTTTCAGCACACATGGCTGTCAACAATTCATCCTCATATCAGCCTCAGAGTCAGTCAACTGACACACACTGAAAGTGAATGCCTCGTGACTATGAAGTAAATGTATAGTGCCTTTCTAGTCTTCCGACCACTCAAAGCGCTTTTACACTATGTGCCACATTCACCCTTTCACACACATTCAGTCAGTGATGGTAAAGTCCATCAAACAGAAACTAACTCATTCATACACATTCACACACCTTTGCACAGCATTGGGAGCTATTTGGGGTTCAGTATCTTGCTCAAGGATACTTCGACATGCAGCGAGAGGAGCCAGGGATCGAACCAACAACCTTCCGATTAGGGGTAAGGGTAAGGTTTAGGGTTAGCCACAGCTGTCCTAGTAATTAATTAATAAACCTGTTTGTGACTTTTTCTTCAAAGATAATTAAATATTTATCACTATGTTTAAAAATAATCTATTGGAACACTTCCAGCTCACAGTAAAATATTCTACTGTGTAATGCATGGAAAGACACATTTAACAGTACAGTGGCTAAGAATTGTGAATTATTATGAATCAGTCCTCACCAGGAAAATTATGGCATGGACTGTTATTTACATTCAAAGCGAGACTATGGGATTTTTGTATTCTGGGAAGCAGATGAATCTGCCGAGGTCACAATGTTTTCATTTTCTGGCCATCCTTCCATTCAAACTGAATTCCACCAATCGTAGATGTGGTCGATCCAATCACAACTGGAATATTTAATATGGGGTAGGTTTTATAAGATGATTAACAGAGGAGTGTCACTGGTCCAGATTTGAAAAGTCACACATTTGAAACACTGCTCTGATTGGTTGTAGCTCTATCCAATTTCATCCAGTTTGCAGGTCAGTCCAGGGCAACACACAGGCTCACAAAACTAGGCTCGTGACCATGAATGTTAACACATTCCATAGATTTGAGTCTGTTTCAGTCTGGACCACAGTGGTGGACCGCCAACCCTACAGCCATGCTACTAGAATGTGGCATCAACTGAGGGAACAAACATGTTTGTAGTATATTAAGTATGAGTATGTTTATATGCAAATGCTCACTGGTGCAAACTCTGGCAGTCGTACCTTGATGCTGAAGGACCTCCTTATGCTCCTTTTACTCTCCCTGAGTGTGGCAGTGTGATGCACCTGGTTATCTGCCTCAGTGCCTCCTCTTTTCTCCAGGGCTGACTGCTGGCTTGTTCTCCAGTGTCTGTTGTCTGTATCTCTGTACCGTGTCTCATCCGCAGCAGCCACATCAGTCTTCCAGCCTGGACCCCATGTCCTGCAGCCGTCTGACACTTCCCCAGCATGCCTCTCTTCTGGATAGTCATCATTAGTCTTAGAGTGACAGAGGATTAAGGACCTGGATTGAGAGTCAGTGAAAGTCAGAGAGCTGTACCTGAATTGGACAAAAAAAAATCAGCATAACCCCTAATCTTAATTCTTTTGTTGTTTTTATCCATTTTCAGCTTTATTTTCTCAGTGCTAAGCTAGCTATGTGTTTGGATCTGACTGACATTTTCGTGCCCTAACCCTAACAAATAAAACCATTGAAAACACTGAACACTAGCCAATCAGAGCCAGAGTATGGTGGGTCTTGAGGTAGGTGTTTAGGGGTACATACCTAGCTTTACCAGGAGGTACCTTTTAAGACTATTTTATGCCACTGTGCCACTGATATAATGTATAATAAAGCATAATAATTCAAGTACACCCTTTCAAAGAGCAATGAACTTTTAATTTTTTAATTTTAAGATATTCAGACATTGGAATTAGGAAAAAATATTAAATTGTTAAATAAAACATAAATGAAACCACACAACTAAAACAACAAGTAAAATTGACTCTGTTAACCAAAAAATCACTTATTTGGCACAACGGTTGGTTATAGCCATTCATTTGTTAACAGGCAATTTAGTAGTGGAAGGGACAACCCTGCTGTTTATTCTGGCGTTGTTGTTGGCATTCTTAAACAAGAAGTCGATATTGTGACAGGCGATAATTACATATTATATAATGATAAGGTAGTTATTGTCGCAGGCCTAATTATACAACAATGAAAACATACCTTTGAATATTATATTGCATTTTCTCCTAGATGTTACACACTGGACCTTTAAACTACATAAATAGCAACCCTGCAAGACTGTATAATTCTGGAGTAATGCATCCATAAAAGCAATGTGCAAGTACATGCTGTATATCAGAACTGAAAATGAAATTTAAAAAGTACTCAAACTACTATGTCCAGTCATCATAATACTTCAATCAATATGCAGCATATTCTAGACTATGAAATTCTAGCCTGCAGATAAGGTTATACGCTATTTCTGCCAATGACAAGTCGAGTAAACATACTTGTCGTGAACTTCCTGTACAGCCATAGTTGTAAGCTTTTAAGTGGAGCTGGTACCTGGAGAGCATGGCCAGCTTCTTGGAGCGGTGGTTGTGGCTGCTGGTCGGGTTGTTGTTGCTGTAGCTTTTCCCTTGGTCCCGGCGTCTCCTCTCCATCCTCCTAGCAGCCGCTGTGCTGGCTTTCCTTCTCTGGTGGGAGTATCTCTCAGGCATGGTTGTCAGCGTGTGTGTATGTGTGTGCACTGGGAGCCCAGGAACCAACACACTCCTCCCAGCCGGCCCAAAGCCTAATGGAGAGGGACGCTCTGGAGGGCAATTAGAAAATTCAGTTAGGACAGTCTGACTGCATCCGTGTGTGTGAGTGTTCTGAGAAACTGCTGAGGCAATTGTGTAGGCCAACGGAGATAAAAGCGCTTTTCTTTCCCAGCTTTGAAAAAAAAAAAGGCAAAGTTTTGCTCAGTCCTCATGACTGCGGTGTAATCAGACTGCTGGTGAGAAACATATGGATACTCTCACAGACACACACACACACACACACACACACACACACACACACACACACACACACTGACAGGCAAAGTCTGAAATGACTAGAATACTTGGCTCATTGGACAAATCAGCAACTCATCACTCTTAGCTCAATTCCTGTTCTAATGTAAACACAATTGACATGTTGTGAGAAGAGATAATGGTGTTAGCTATGTTGTACTGGTCCCATTAATGGGCTGGAGTGAATGATGGTCTGCACACTTCAACGCTTCACACTCCAGAGAGCACTGCAGGATGACCCTCAAATGCATTATACATACTAGCGTAGATGGCCTCTCACATTTACCATGAACACTTAGTAAACAATGTGCAGATGCTCTTTAACTGAAACCCATAAGGCCTTTGGTCTGACATCATTATCTCACTATCAGTCCCTCCCAATCCCCTCACAGTTGGAGCCCGACTGGCTCAGAAGGTCTGAGCAGTTTTCCAGCTGTATGTGATGTTGATGCTTCGATTGCACCAGACTTTCCCACTGCTTAAATCTTTTTACATTGACTGAATATTAATAAGCTCGTCCTCTGTGACTGCTGCAGCTTTAGATTTTAGTGATTAAGTTTAAAAATTGACAGTATATAATTAGTGGAGAGAGCTTCCAGTATTCATTATTTCTAATGGCCAGCAGGGGTGAGCTCCATGGGATGCAAAATAAGAGGTCCGATAGATTTGAGTCTTATTTAGAAATGAGCCTACTTCTGACTTTATTATCTCAGTTAATAGTTTCCTATTGAGTTTATGGTCTCAATCTCTAGTTTCAGTCTTCTTCCATACAGCATGATAGATAGATAGATAGATAGATAGATAGATAGATAGATAGATAGATAGATAGATAGATAGATAGATAGATAGATAGATAGATAGATAGATAGATAGATAGATACTTTATTTATCCCGAGGGAAATTCAAACATCCAGTAGCAGCATACAAACATAAATTAGACATACATTAAACATACATTAAAATGAAAAAGGAACCTATAGCACAGTAGCCATACATTAAATTGGATATAAGGAGTTCGGTCTAAACCTGCTCTATTTGAAAAGTGTCCTGAGATAACTTCTGTTATGAATTGGCGCTATACAAATAAAATTGAATTGAATTGATAGATTCAACTTTTTCAGAGGAATTAAATATGTGCCGAGGGAGAAAATAAACTAGAAAAATAGAAATGAAACATGTGCAGGTAAATTAAGTGTTTAGAGGTTAATGTAAACTATGTGCAATTAAAAATAAGGTACAGGTAGGCAGATAGACAGGCATGTAGACATGTCCAGGGTGTTTGGGTGACAGGAGCTCAAAAGCAAAAAGGCAACACAAGAACATAGCAAGCAGGAAGAACAGACAACTGAACCAAATGAACATACACACTAAGTACACTGGTGAGTGGAGGATAACTAGACACAACTAACATCATTTTTCTTCTGCTTAACCTTATTTACAGTTGTGCTAGGCAAGAGAAGGAAAACAAATCCAGACATGCTAGTCTTTTTGTCGTATTGTTTTGTCTCAGCCTGGCTGATGACCTGCAGTCATGGACTTGAATTTTGGACTTGGACTACTGTGAGACTGTTTTCAGGAGTTATGTGTCAGGTTAGTTCAGGCAAAAACGTTATGCGGCACATAACTATACATTTCATATATTATGTTTTTTATACAGATAAAGCAAACGAGATGTAACTTGATCATTAGTGAGCTTCAGAGGCGATGGTTAGCAGATTGTATTACCGTTGGATAGAGCTGGTCTAGCTGTTTCCCATGTTTTCAGTTTTTATGCTAAGCTAAGCTAACTGTTGCTTGGCTCCAGCTTTATGTTTAAAGCCCCCTCCAGTCAGAAATGTGTTTTTTTCTTCCTGTCCCTACAGTGTGCTGTTTGAATGCTGTCTGTGCAGAGTTTGACACTAGAAAGATGTTTTCACATTCATCTGCTGAAAGAGGAAAGTTTCTCTGTGCTCATTGAACATCTTAATTTAAGGGGCGGGGCCTACCAGCTTGGATGAGAGCAGCTATACCTCACTCTCTTGTCTTCAAAACAACCACGCCCCCTTTTGGGTGAAACAAGTGCTGTAAAAGTGCTTAGTGGTACTATGCCTAAAAGCTGCTGCGTTGCATTTTGCACATCAAACTATTTTTAAAAAGCCAGTTTACAATGTTTTACTTTCCTAATCAATAAAAGAGAGTAAAGGAAAGGATCTGTGGCTCTAGGCAACTAACTAACTAACTAACTAACTAACTAACTAACTAACTGTTGATTTAAGTAAATCAGTAAAGAGTCTTTTTATTAAATAATACAAGTTTTTATTGTGAAAGAATATGGCCCTATCGCAAAACACCCACTTCTGAAATGTAGTTCAGTATGACAGTGTGGAGCAGAGGGTATTTTTACCTTAATAATTTGCATAAACTGAGCAGGGGCTTGATGCTAGGCCAAAGTACCTATGTCTATGATTTGTGACATCACAGTAGTTAGTAAGTCAGTCCTGGTCCAGTATCAACCTGTACAGTGTGATGTAGAAACTTGAAGCCACCAGTGCACATCCACTGAGAATGGACTTTACAGTGAAGTAGGAGACATCTTGTGTCCAGCAGGAAAACTTTAGACATGAACAACATTTGCATATTCAGAGATTCTGGAAGTTTTTTTAAAAAAAAAGGGGGAGATGACTTTTTAAGAATTTTAATGGGGATATAATACTTTTTAGTAGGAAAATCTCAGAGACATATTAGTCCGCAGACTGTTTGTATTTACACCGATCAGCCATAACATTGTGAGCACTGACTGGTGAAGTGAATACCACTGATTATCTGGTTATCATGGCTCCTGTCAGTGGGTGGGATATATCAGGCAGTAAGAGAACATTTTGTCCTCAAAGTTGATGTTAGAAGCAGGAAAAATGGGCAGCGTGAGGATTTGAGCGACTTTGACATGGGCCACATTGTGATGGCTCAACGACTGGGTCAGAGCATCTCCAAACCTGCAACTCTTGTGGGGTGTTCCTGGTCTGTAGAGGTCAGTATCTATCAAAAGTGGCCACCAGGGTGCCCAGGTGGTCTTTATGTTATGGCTGATTGGTAAATGGACCTGTACTTGTATAGCGCCTTTCTAGTCTTCCGACCACTCAAAGCGCTTTTACACTACGTGCACTCAGTGATGGCAAAGTCCATCGAACAGAAACTAACATTCATACACATTCACACACCGACGCACGGCATCGGGAGCAATTCGGGGTTCAGTATCTTGCTCAAGGATACTTCGACATGTGGCACCAGGAGCTGGGGATCGAACCCACAACCTTCCAATTAAGGAACGACCCACTCTGCCTCTGAGCCACAGCCGCCCTGATTGGTGTATGTCTTAATACGTGTCTGGAGGGGAGCATTAACACATAGACGAGAGTCGTATTAGTCTTCTCATCTTACTCTCGAGACACTATATCAAAAACAACATATCTGCAGTATGCATGTAGCTTAAAGACCTGAATAGTCAGTGCAGCTGGCTTTTGCTACTCTGTTGTAGTGATGTGGCAGCCTGTGTGTTCACAAATGCCTCTCTGTACTATGAAGATTGCAGCATGCAGGTGGAATATAAAAGACCTCCTCAAACAGTATATAATATATAATGTGCTGACCACAAGACAATGAGTTGGCGTCTCAGCCAATAAAACTAAAGTAAGAAAATTAAATTAAATCTAAAATCATTATTTTTATTTTAACACATAACAGATAGTTATTAAAAAGCAAATTAAGGACTTTATTAAATAAAATAGAGAATTTATTAAATAAAACATTTAAAACTACCGTAACCACCTACGTAAACAGATCCCCATAGATACCTGTGTTTACCTATTTTAATATTTAAACAGACGAATATCTGAATAGCCAAAGAAATAAATAAATCAGTCATAATACAGAGGTTTCAGTGGATGAGAAGGGCTGGAAGAAGGAAGAAAGGCTTTCTTTTTCTGGTGAATCAGTGGCTCTGATCCTGGAAGTGTGTTAGCAATTATGGAGCATTAGTCTGCTTGTTGTGTTGGCCAGATAGACAGGAAGCAGAGACATGGATCTCTATGCTGGAGGCCTATGAGCCCCACAGACTCCATATCCCCGTCTCTCTTCTCTTTTCATAGGCTTCTACACTCTGCAGCTGGAAGTGTGCCAGTACGGTGGGAACACTTACTGTATAGCAGTAGAACAGAAATCAATCTCAGCTACTGTCTCTAAACCAGTTATTGAAACATCACATTGTAAAATGTACATTTAGATAAAGCCAGGTCAGATCTGCAGCACAGATAGCTTCATAACTTTGGAACTCAGTAACACATATTTAGCACTTATTTTATGTTCTATAAGAACTTGCACACTACTCAAAATACAATGTAGTTTGGGAGGCACATTTACTGAGACATTGTACTTAAGTAGGTTTTTGAGATACTGTTAAAATATCAAAATGAACCACTGCACCCTGCCAGCACCTGCCTGTTTTTGGCAGTGCATGGGAAGTTTTATTTTCAAGTTAAATGACTAAATATTATGATAATATGTTGTTCCTCTTTACTTGAGTGTTACCATTTACTTACATAATATTTTTACACCTCTATATTTCAGAGAATTTATGGGATTCATCTATTACTGGTAAACATATCACATCAATGAACTAAGCAGCTCCAGGATGTCAATAATATATACCAATAACCGTGTATATTGTTCAGTCGTTGTCCACATTAGACTGCTGGAACTTCTGTTTTCTGTTTCTGAAGTGAGGACACCTCATTCAAAATCACAGTCACATCTTTAAAAATGCAATCTAGCCCTAAAACATAACCCTGCTTAAAATCATGTTTTTTTTAACTGAAAGGACCAGTGTGTACGATTTAGTGGCACCGAGCAGTGCAGGGTGTAGAGAAGTAGTTGCAGACATCCTCGCTTCACCCTCCCCTTCACTACAGTGGAGCCAGTATTTGGTTTGTCCCTTCTGGGCTACTGTAGAAACATATCAGTCTAACGTGGCGGACTCTGTAGAAGAGGACCCGTAGCATCTGTAGATAAAAACAGCTCATTCTAAGGTAACAAAAATACAACAATTCTTATTTTCAGGTGATTATACACTAATGAAAACATACCTATGAATATTATATTCCATTTCGTTTAGATCCTCCTAAATGTTACACACCGGACCTTTAATGTTTCTTTTTTTAGCAGCCTCGCCATTTCCCCTTACCCTAGGCCGTGGAGGGTCATGGCTAAAATGCCACCAGACTGATATTTTTGAATTATCTGTCGATCATTTTCTCTCTTAAACGATTAGTTGTTTGGTCTATAAAATGCCAGAAAATGGTGAAACATTTTGAGCACTGTTTCCCTAAACCCTGGGGTGTCGTCTTGTTTTGATCACAAGCCAAAGATATTGAGTTTAGACAAGTATTTGATGGAGTGTACCTTTAAAACCACGAATCAATCTTGAATCAGTGATTGAGAAGATTACTGTTTACGTCCTACATTTAGAACTTCAGACAGTGCACAGCAGACAGTCAAATAGGACTAAAAAACAGGGAATATTCATATTTGACAAGGTGAAATCAGAGAATTGGGACATATAATTAAGTTATCATTGCAGCTCTAGTAAGTGAGCACAGGTTTTGGTATAAGTCACTGTGATGCACCTGTTTGAGCAAGTAACTCTCCCTAAGAAATGAAGCTGTTTTTACATTTCTCTTTGTGCCCAGATGAATCAAGCAAGGTACAATATGTTCATTAGTGAGCTAGAGAAGTAGTTGATGTTTTTTTACATCCAACTGGGACTAGAGTTGGTCCAATACCAGTATCGGAAATTCTTCTATATAAAGGCCAGCAGGGGGCAGCTCCATTGGCTGCAAAAAAAGACCAATAGTATGCAGTCTTTTGTAGAAATGAGCCAACTCCTCACTTGATGTATGAGCTCAGTAAATGGTTTCCTAATAAGTTTATGGTCCCAATCTCTAGTTTCAGTCTTCTTCCATACAGCATGATGTTCATGTAAATGATGGTCCCATTTAGAGTAAAATAGACCATAAAGCAGGGTATGCTTTAGGGCGGGGCTACCTTGTGATTGACAGGTCATTATCAGTGAGTCCGTCCAGCTCAACGCACCACCAAACTCAGATCACACTGTCAAACTAGGCATTGCTGATCAGATATGGATCCAGATTCTGTTACTGCGTTGACTATTTCTCTCCTCAAATCCTTGCAGAAACATTTTAGTGTACTGTTAATAATGTGTAATATAAGAATGTGTGTGGACAGGAGAGCTGCCACTGTTTCCTGCTACAGACAAGTTGAAACAATGCAGCCAATGAGAGCAGCTCAACTCGCAGTACGTCACCTCCACTGGCTCCGACAAACTGTCATGGTGACAGCCATAACTCCAAACTTGAGGCTTCAAAACAATACTCCACAAACTAATGGGTGACGTCATGATATGTTCACTCGGTCTTGATCCAAGTCCACGTAATGTATAAGCCCCAAAATGGCATTTATAATGTTTTCCCCCAAGACGGAAAATTCATAACCCATCTATCTTATCTTATATTATCTGTAAGTATCTTATCTTATCATAGGCTTAGTAATACACGCTTGTTAAAAAATAAAAATATACTGTATATTTTTATAAAAAGTTTTGCACACATATATTGGATCAGTACTCAGTATCGGTCAATTTGCAAAGTTTAGGTATCAGAATGAGTATTGGGAAGGGAAATAAAATGGTATGGGGATATCCCTAATTGGGACAGCTGCTTTTTTGTGAGAATGACAGTTTCAATTTCAAAGCCTTTTAAAGCCCATATGTTGGTAGTACACTGGTTCCCAACCTGGGGGTCAAAGCATCACTGGGGATCACAAGGCCTTCTTGATTTAATTGAGTATGTATGATTGTTAGAACTTTTTAAAACAGACAATACAGACAGAGAATTGTATAAAAATTCCTAAAAATATCAGGAAATCTCCTCTTAATATTCACAGCAAATAATGCTGGTTCAAATCTTCGGTTTAACACGAACCTCCTGCAGTTACTGTGTTCACTGTTTGGGTTCATTGTACAGTTTATCAATTGCTCTCTACTGGTATTGTGATGGATTAAATATAATATGAAATATCCATACAATAAGTCTCTTTTCTCAGTAATAGAAAAGGGCTCCCTTAAGGAAAAAGGTTGGGTTGTTAGTGTGTATATTTATAGCTTCATAAAAAGCACTTGTTTCAGAGCCTTGAAGATGTCGACCGCCTCCTGTGATGTCAGCAGGAGTACAGAGTCCAACTTTCCTCTGACACTGTAATGGCACAGCAGCAACCCTGTTCAGTATGAAAACTTGGACGGGGAGAGGGAGTGAGTCACGTTGAAAGGTGTGTTTGGGATGAAGGCTGAAAAGTGTGAACAGTGTGCACACACGTGTTTGCATTTTCATGTATGTGTGTGAATGTGCTCCCAGAAGCCATACTCTCCTGTAGCATTAGCAAGGCAGGGACTGCAGCCTAACAGAACCTGATTGAGAGAAGGGAGAGGGTGGGGCGACAGCGCGGCTGAACAACGTGTGTGTTGTTTGGAGCATTCACTGGGGGTTTTTCCAGTCCGTGAGACGGAACAGGACCTACAGAGGACAGCCGAGAGAGCCACCTGAAGAGAGTCACGCTGCACCGCTTTTATCATATCAAAGACATTATTTATGACCTGAGTCCTTAAGGGGACATGATTGATCTTGAATTCTCGTTCTATAAGTGATCTCACACTCTGGAGGCTCGGCTGCTTGGCCTCTGTTGGAATGACAGCTGGCCATGTGGTCGTATCCGAGCCTGGCCCCAAGGTTTTAAGCGTGGCTGGGGGGAGAACAGAGAGGAAACCCGTCCACAGCTGGTCTCATCTGGCTATTTGTGCTCTAAAGGTCGCCTTGGAATAGACGTACACAATGTTATATAATTAGTCTTTTCATAAAAGACCTCTGTGTGCAAGTGGGTCCATGAACACAAACACACGCTAAGGTTGTTACACACATCCAGCCCTCAGGCCAACAAGTGCATCATTTAACTTCCCTGCTCTGCAACTAATTTTGATAGTTACACAATCCTCACTCAGACAGACTTCAGAAACTGTTTTTCTCTTACTTTTCTGTTATATAATCTTTATAGGCAGAAATTGGAAACCAGTCAGAGACACATGGTTTGGATAATTCGACACTGATAAACATCCCTGTCGGGAGTGGAACTCACCGTAGTCGATCATGTTGTCTTTAAGCCAGCATCCACAGCCTCTAGCAGAGGGGCAAACGGGGGATCCAGAGGATGGATTCACTCCAGACAGACAACCAGAAGTCTGGACAGAACATCAGGTCAGAAACTCAGAGACGTATCACTCAGAGCATTTCTTCCTTGCTGTGATTCATCTGGGGTAACGTGCCTCTACCTCTCCTCCTCCTCCTCCTCGTGCGTCCTTCCTCCCTTCCCTCCCCCTCTGTCTGGAGAACACAACAGTGTGTCTCAGTGAGGCACGGCTCCCCAAAATCACTGCCCCTTTCCTGTGAGCCAGCTCCAGAGAGGAAAACACACCGCACTTAGCTGGGCCTGACCTCACACCTACTTTGCATCACACACTGGTTGTAGTCTTTTACAAGGTCCTGTCAGTGTGTGTGCCTGCAGTGTGTGTACTGTATGCTGCACAGGGTGAATAGATTCTCTGTGGCCCACTCCCCAGTTTACACATAAAAACACAACCCTAATTTGAGTGTGTGTGTGTATGTGTGTGTGTGTGTGTGTGTGTGTGTGTGTGTGTGTGTGTGTGTGTGTGTGTGTGTGTCTGGATCGGTGCTGTTTGAGCTGGGCAGTGAATACAGCGCTCTGGGTTGATTTTGGTGGGGGCTGTGGATGGAGAGAACCACTCTTGGTGAAGTTTTTTTTCGATGGGCTCTGATGGGAGGTGAGGCCTGTACAGGGTTTGGTATGTGGTTTAAGATATGGATGAACATTTTATGTGGGCTATTTTCAAACTACCTTCTGAACAAAAAGGGTGCTGTCTGTGGAGCAGCATCTGTCAAACTATGTTGTGTCACTACAGCTAGAGCTCTGGACCCGACCCGACCCGCTGGGTTCAGGCCAGATTTGGGCCCAGAAGCTCAATATGTATATATGTAACATTTATTATAATGCATGTGACTGTAATTAATACATGTGTTATGTATTTGTTTAATAATCATATGAACTATATTATATGCACAAATTAGTTCTTTTAAGAAGGAATTTGGTCCGGTCAGGCCTGATGTTTTGGACCCAATCAATGCTCCAATGACACAAACCACAAACCCTAATTTGATGAGACTGAAGTCAACTGACAAAGATTTAAATTGTTGAGTTAGTTTTGAATTGTAAAGCTACATGTTTATAAAAATAGTGGTGAAACGGAAACACTCTCATCACTCTCTGTATGAGAGACCCATGGCCACTGCAGCAATGTGCCAGCTCTACCAGGGCTTTTCAAAAGACCAATGTCAAAGGCATCCAATTCTGCCTGTGCAGTCTTAATAGATGGAACTATTTATTGAGTTCATGTTTGCCATTGATTCTAATGTATCACACACAATTACAATAATGTTTTGAGAAGAAATGTTGCTATGATGGTTGATTCTTACAGTAGTTTTTTCTTGGGGTCCCAGTTGGTAGTCCATGTATGTTAAATATGTATGATGAATTAAAATGATGGTCAGAATTAGTAGCAAAGCCTGTGACATCCTGATTTTTAGTCTGTATTTAGTATTTGTGCTGATGGACAACAGTCAAGTTGTAGTTTTGGAATGCCACAAAGACACAAGCATTCACCACCTGCAGTTTGTTTTCAGATTATGCAGCTGTGAGTAGCTGCTCCATATTTTTGGTGCATTTCAGTGCATTTATCAACAGAAAGCACCACCATTCCAAACATAGTTATCATCTTCTGGTAACCACTTGGCTTCAGGGCCTCACATGTACTGGCCATTGAGACATTGAGTCAGATATCATGTGTGTGAGGAGCTGTGCGTTTTATTGTGCCTCCCTCTAGTGGCTAACCTGTGTCACTGTAGGTTGGGGGCTACAACAATGAATTCCTAGAAAGGACTATAGGCAACAGGAGGCAGTAAGGATGGTAAAGTTTCATGTACAATATAGACCTCTGTGACACATCCATGAAGGTTAAAGCATATCTGGTAAAGTAGATAAGTAATATTTTCTGGCTTAATGAGTTGTGGAGGATCTCCTGAACCAACGGGCACACAATGGGGATTCTGAGGGCTGCAGAGAATCAACCTGTCCTCCAGCCGGCCACTCTTAACCTGCCAGTGAGGATGTGACACACAGCAGGTTCAGGTCCCACCCACATCCATGCAGGCACCTCAGCCAACCATTAGGAGTCACTACTGCAGTGACTATGACATGAACCTTTACTGGCTTCCTGAACAACATCACCACAGTAAAAGTATTTTTCCTCTTAGAAAATTCATCTTTTATCTCAATGTTGATAATAATGTTATCATAACTATTTGGCTGTGACATGACAAAAAGTTACTTACACAAGTTACCTACTTACTTTTGTTTAGGCACTGACAAAATAATGTGCAAAACAACACAGCTGTGTCTAAAGCTCTGAAAATGCTAATGAATGTATTTTATTTTTTTATGACAATGTATAGCCACTCACAGCACTGGGTTAAGGTTGGGAAAATTTTTCAGTCTTGGTTAAATACAGGAATGGAAAAGTCTGCAGTGACTTAAAACATGAGGCAAGATTTGTTTACTCTTATGACATTTAACCAAAATCAAATTTTTTTTTACCCCTAACCCAAATGGTTAGTCAGGTTTAAGGGGGAGTCATCTCCTGTTGTTTATTCTTGAAAATAATAATGGACATTGGACATGTAATCTTCAGTGGTTAACTTTAGAAAATACTGGCTATCTATTATGATGTAAGTCTCTCGTTTCTTTCTGTGCTGCAGCTTTCAGTGGGGAAATGAAGTCAACCAAAGTGACCTAATAGCACACAGCAGACAGGCTCTGCTTCTGTACAGGACTGTGTGAAGGAAACAGACCACACCTCAGAGGGAAAATAGGGTAAAAAACATCCTCAGTAAACAGCCTGAGAGCAGGAAACCCTCTCTCTGGCCCTGACTAGCAGTGTTTCACTTCCATCTCTGGGCTGAAACACAGACACTGAAGGGCTGGGCAGAGTTGGCCCTATATTTAAACAATAACACACTCCCCTGCCTCTTTTTGGTCTCAGATAGAACACATTACACTTACTTTGAGTTTGCCCAAGGCTCAGAGACGGATTCTTTTCTTTACAGGGTTTCTGCAGCATTTAAAAGGTTAATTAGAACTTTTTAAGACCTGCCGAAACCTATTTAAAACATTTTAAGGCCTAAAATTCAGATTATTGGACTAGACTTTTTAAGACGATGTGGTCCTCTCTGTTATGGTTTTGGGTATTTCTTTGGTTATTTCCTGTTTTATCTATTTTTAGTTTGTTATAATGCAAACTAAAGATCCAGCACTACAATATAACCTTGCTCAATGGTATGTTCTGCAGGACCTTATCACTGTCTAATGCAGTCACTATAGAAATGTTTAAATATTTGGAAAAAATGTTAATTTTCAGAGTTAGCAAATATAAATGTGAAGATTTATGCAAACATAACTTAATTAGATTTTGAAAATCAAATTTTAGCATCCCTTCACTATAGGTTATAATGCCATTTTCGTGTTATATATATATTTATATTTCTGTTTGTTATATAAAGCTGAGAAACAAGTCTGATTGGTCACAATTGGTGATTTTATGTAGGTCTCTTGTTGGTGCTCCCTGTGCCTTGAGCCCCCTCTGCTGTCAAAATTAGAGCTTTGCCTTTTCCATTTACTCTCTCTTTGCACTATTGGTTTAATTACAGAAACAGCTAGCTTTTTAGTGTATTGCTTAGACTCAAACCTTAGAGGGCAGAACCTGTACTGTCAAATCAATGCACCGGCTGTGGCACAGAGGTAGAGCAGGTCGTCCCCTCATTGGAAGGTTGTTGGTTCGATCCCCAGCTCCTCCTACCATGTGTCAGAGTATCCTTGAGCAAGATACTGAACCCCAAGTTGCTCCTAATGCTGTGCATTGGTGTGTGAATGTGTTAGTTTCTGTTCATTGGGCTCTACCATCGCTGTGTGAATGTGGTCAGAAGAAGCTGTACAGGTCCATTTACCATTTATACATGGTATGGGGTTAAATTCACAGTCAGTACATTCCTGAGTAAATCGCAGCCAGCTATTTTCTTTGAGTGTCAAAAGTTTGTCAGAATGGACCCTGTCGGTGTTATATCATTATATTATTATTGATTCATTAAAGCTGAAACAGGGAATTGTCATAAAGAAAATAACCTTTAGTATTATCTGCTGAAACTTTCACTATATCCTGACAGTAGAGCATGAGACAGATAATCGGAATCAGGTTGGCTCTGATTGGTTGTTTTTGTTCAGGCCCGGTGGATTCTTGCAGATGTCATTAGGAGCACTAAGAGGAGACAGAGAAACCAGATTTTTTCACAGATTATCTGTCTCATGTTCTACTGTCAGGATATAGTGAAAGTTTCAGCAGATATGTAAGTGACCTACTGCAGCTTTAACTGTAAACAGTACTTGTTGGAGTTCATGTTTTATATAATTTTGGGTAGTTTAACCTATAATATATGATCATATATTCTGATCATAGGTACTTCAAAATGCAGCACTTGAGTAAATGTGCTTAGTTACATTCAGCACAGGAAACAGGACAGTGTATGTGAGTGTGCCTGGAACATTCAGTATGGGTAACATGAAGGAGAAAGAACTGGGCTCAGAGGTAGCAGGGAAGCATGACGTCACACTCTTTGAATGTTACTGCTGGTTCACATTACCTTGTACACACACACATACACACACACACACACACTCACACACACACACACACACACACACAAGCTTACCACATGGACCCTCCTCGTTGATATTCATATTGTGTTTTTAATGCTGTTAAAATGCTTGGCTATATACAAGGTCCAGTGGGGAGGGGTAAGGATTGGGAGACAGCTAACAAAAATGGAAATCTCAAACTTTCAAGACCAAAAGCACATGAAAGGGAAAAAAACAATGCTATCGCGGTATTATTCCTTACAGTTGCCAGGCTTCCATCCAAATGTAACACAAATTTTAACCAAATTTTGATTCAGTTGGCAGAAGAAAGTGCAAATGAATGTTTCCTTCCATTACAGTTATGCCATTATTAAGAGTTGGTTCGAGGAGTTAAACAGCTGGCGGTGACAACTCCCTAATCGACTGCCATTAAACCACAGCAGAAGAAGAGGGTGTGACAAGGTGACATAATTAAAT